CAAAGCTGATATCAAATGAAAGTCAGGCTTGATGACAAAGAGGGAAGAAAAGGAAATTTTTACCTCGAAACGGTTGCGCGTACAAGTTTGTTTAACTAAAGACACACAGAGCTTATCAGGTATTTTTACGTAAATTAAAGTTCAACTTGATTACTTTTACTGATACGTTAAGTTAGAAGTCAGTAAAAAAAAGATTTATTCCGAAAAAGATGCAGAAATTGCTTTTCACAAGTGTTACATGTCTACCTTATTTCGAAGCAATAATGAACTGGAATTCTAAACAAGAGACGGAAAAGCAAAAGAAAACACATAAATATCAAAGACTTACCCTCGTTTCTATCCGCAGGGAAGTGAAGCCATCCTCCCCACAGAACTGTTATGGAGAGGAAAGATAGAGATAGTTTGGAGGGAATCTTCATCCTTGAAGAAAATACTTGTACGTGTGTATCGTTTACAGTGAAGCAGGGACACCCTACCGTCAAGCTTAAATGCTGCTGGGCGAGAGAGCTCTAAACAAATGAAGCCAACCATCCACAGCTGCTTAACTCTCAGCAAACAAATTATCAAATTAAGCCAACAAGAAAACGCGATAAATTTGCATAAACGAAGACTTCCTGAAAATAACAATTCACGCTTCGCGAATGGAAAATATTTGAAACAATTATATAAAGGATGATAAAACATGGATATGAAAAACTGAGATGATATTTCGGGAAATGGTACCAATATTCAGATTGTTCATGTGTTTTGTTGGATATTATAATGTTAGATATTGCTAAGTCATGTGGGGAAAAACTTCAGATCCGAGCACGCGTGCGTATCTGGTGTCAAAGTAAATTTTAGCGATGCGTCATAAACACAGTAAACGGACAAGAGCACATCACAAATTTTTGCCTTCTTGTATACTAAAGAACTGAATCGAGAGACATGAGTGCCCGGTCGGGTGACGCACAATTTTCTTTTCAGTCTGATTTCACAGTAACTTTTTTTTCCCACATACCAGTGCTTTTGGGTCGAGATTTGATCCCGTAACTCTAGAAAGCTCAGCCGATCGATCGGACTTCAACCTCCCTGATGAGAGGGATACCGGAAGGGATACCAAGTGATACCGATCCAAGATATTTTATTTATTTTCCTAATTGAAATTCGTGCTCAGATTAATAATTAATTATTAGATGAACCTTAAACTTTTTATCAACAGGTTTAAGTAACCGCATAGACACCTACCGACTGCAAGCGTCAATGTAATTCTCTACATTGATGAGAGAAATATAGCGCCATGCATACTAAAAATTTTTTTCGTGGCCAGAGCTCCTCATGTTGGCCAGGAGCGCATTAGTTGGAGCGTTCAACTGCCCTGTATTATTGCCACGGCGTTTTTTACAGACAAGTCTATTTTTAGTTTAAATTTACTCGACTCTCCACGAGATTAAGATTAATCGATCTCCAATCAAGATTAGAGCTTAGTTAATTTCTAACTTTACCCTTTAATACAACGAAAGAAAAATGGCAGAGAGATGCAAGAATTTTTGCAATAGTTCGAGTGCAGATTCGTGTGAAGATTTCGAAAGCACTTCGGGAAGCAGCAGTTCCGAGGACAGTGCTGACGATGATGAACCTGAAATGAACACGGCTTCGCGTCCGTCAAGTTTTAAGTTGATGATGTAAATTGGCCTCCGTAAACACTTCCTAAAGTTGACATTTCGAGCTTTGGCCCTAATTCTTTTTCATTCTGACAAAAGGCTAACGCTCGAAACGTCGGCTTAGAAACTCTTTACATTAGCAAATTTACGCTATCAACTCAGCTGATAAAACCGATCTTTTAATACCCCTACCGACAAGGCACTACAGCCTCTTTAGAAAAATGCCCCCTTTATTCGTAAATGTAGGCCCATTTAGATAAATCCTTTGGCAACGTTGACATTTGTTCATCTGCCATTGCTGTTGAAAGCGTCTTACCAGAGCAATAAAATCAAATGCATTAAAATGTTGTTGATGACACAAGTTTATTATGAATATCGTTGTAAGGAGTGGCAAAAATATAAAAAAAGCATTTATTTTATGTAACCTAAAAATCACTTGATTTGTGTTTGGGCAAGCAAAAAAAGAAAACGAAATTATCCTTCAGTTAGTGAGTCTAATAGGGTACAATAGGTTTTGATTCTGGCAAAAGAAGTATCCATTGTTGGGCTATTTGTATCTTCAACTGCATCAATATTTCCACTTTCGACATCGTTCATGATCCTTTTTTCCTCGTGATCTTTCAACTTATCCTACTCAATCTCCCCGCTTTCCCTAAAGCTTCCAAGTGTTTGCCTTCAGGAAAGTTGACACGAAGTTCTTTAGAGGCGGTTAAGACGTAATAATGGGTAAGAACATAGATACTCCTAAAAGCACCAGTGTGGCACGCAGCAGTTCCATAATAATGCTTCCAACATCAGAGGGAGCTTGTCCTAAAGAGGGACATATTTTAGTAAGATTAGTATTAATAATGCTAAAACAACAGGGCGTGGCTTGACTTCTATTCTTCACCCCGACCTCGTGTGCGACGAGTCTACTCTTGCAAACAAAATCAACAAGGTATTCGTCAGCGTCATGGAAGATTACTCGCCCTTAACTGACTGTGTGCGCGTGGATATGGACGACGATCAGCCTATTTCAGTCAATGAACACTCTGTGGGGCCGGTCGATCTTCCGAACTGGTTAGTAAGGGAACACGCAGGTATTCTGGCAGCACCAATTGCAAAAAATCTTAATACCTATTTCCTCGAGTGCAAAGTTCCCCGGGTTTGGAAGATTGCCGACGTTCCACCTCTCCCCAAAGCACCTACTGTCAACGACATCAATAAAGACCTAAGACCCATTTCACTGACATCCACTTTGTCTAAGGTTGCGAAGGGCTTTGTTATCTATTAGGAATTGATATCAGTACTGTTGTAGACTAATCATTCGCATGACCAATCAGAACGCCGATTTCGTTTCATCTTTCCTGCCCGAAGATCAAAGAATATAACGAGAACTGACCGAAGGTCACTTTCGCAACACCCCCCGGTTGTTGACGTTATGGTCGAGAAATTTTCTCATCGGTTTAAATGAAAATCAACTCTCCCAACCGTTACTGAGAAACCTTATTTGATACAGTAACGAGGACCTCTTATTTCATCCAAAAGTGCTTAGTAGTGGCAACCATCTTGAGATCTGGGGAAGAAGGAGTCGTTGGCGTTGCCCCTATGATTAATTTTCATATGTCATTTCTTTTTAATTAGCTATTTTAGCTAACTTTCCCTCTCTTTCGCACAGGAAGAAGCTAAGGTAATTTTGTATAGTGTTCCAATCTTTCAACGTCTTTAAGGGAAGAATACGCTGGAACGGACGCGCAATCAGCCGATACTCTGAAGAACTTTTTTATTGATAGCTTGACACTAAATTTCTAGTAACACTTAAAATGCGGCAACAGCTTTAATTTACCACCTTAACTAACTGAAGTGTATTCACCTGTGGATCCAAGAGAGATCATCTTCCTGATTATTTACATTAGGCGGGGTAGAGGAGGGGAGGGAGAGGAGGAGATTTTCCTCTTTTTGTAAGAAGAGCCTCTTACACAGATTGAGCCATTTGAGGTCACGTGAAAAGATATTGCAAGCCGTCCTCTCTCTCTCTCTCGCTTGGGTCCACTCCGGATATCACTTTGTTCGTGGAGTTTTTGCTTTTACGAGAGGTTTTCTATTTTTATGTATTCTCCTTTATGAATGGAATCAGTAACTTAAATACACAAACCTTATTCCAGTTGTAAATACAAGAAATGAATGTAAATATTGTCAAACTTCTAATCAAAATGTTTTCAACTCTGTAACGCAAAAAATGAATTTTATATTTCAACAGCCTACCGCTGACTCCTTAGCTCTTTCTTCCATACGTCTGTTGACTAAGTAAGCCTTCGATATTTCTGATATAAGAAACAACAACAACAACAAAAAAAACAAGAAGGAAAAAATAAACTGGATCGAGCGAAAACAATAAAAAAAGAATGATTTAACAAATAAACGTCGTAACGTTGGTCAAAAGCTGTAAAAAGTAAATCTAATGCTTTTTTGTCAATGGCAGGAAGATCTTACCATATATGTTTTAACTATAACAATTAAATATATGTATAAGGCGAAACGTTTTAATTGACTTTTCGGTTCAATTATTCACCAAAAACTAAGTTCATGTTAAAGACAGTTGACCCTATTAAAAAAGAAACCTCTTTTCAGATGGTAAAGCCTATCTCCTTAGATAACTCATCTCATACCCATTGCTAAATATCTTAGTTGTACAATGGCTTTAGCACTACGAGATCGCCTCCAGAGTGGATCTACATTCAACGATAAGGTTAGTTGACACATAACATTCACGTAGTCGCTTTTAAGGATGTTTTATCAAATAATTTTTTGTTAAAAAAATGTACAGGGTTTACTACTTCACCCCGTCACCCACTCAATTTTGTAAAACAAAAAGTGCAAAATCTTACAGCGAGAAAGTAGGTGAACCACAGTTTACTGCAATTCACCGACTTTCATTGGATGAAATTCTATGAGGAATAAAACTGGTCTATTATTTCAGAATTGATCTTCAACCGAAATGTGTCAACAACTTTGTCGCAAATTTTAATGTAGAATAACATGAGTTGTTTCTTTTCCCTTAGGATTCTTAGTATAATCATTATGAATATTCAAGTACCATAACATTATCTAACTTGCTGTCATGTCTAATTTATGTTAAACTTTTAACTCCCATGAGTGACCAAGACAGAATTTCTCCTTACAGTATCATGCAGATAAGTGATGAGAAGAAAGAAAAATATTAACTGTGGGATTACTAATTGATCTGATACCAAATTCTCCAAGCTAACATAATGAGAATTACTTTGTAGACAGTTAGGAGAATTACTACTGAGATTTTGGGAGTTAAAGGGTTAAAATCACCTATGCACTGGATGGCATGTGGTTTGGTTGTTTCTTCTACAGTAACATGATGGTCACCTGACCATGGCCAGCCTTGTTGTGACAACATTCATTCTGTCGATTGTTTCCAACATTGTAGGATCCGCCACCACCCCCACAGGCATTCAAAACAGAATATCCGCTGCCTCCCCCGGAGTATCCTCCTCCTCCTCCCCCTCCTCCGCCCCATCCCCCAGCTCCACCTCCCCCGCCAAACCCACCATAGATGTTGAAATACTCTGATCTCCCACCCACCCCTCCCTGCAGAAATCCCTTACCACCCTCCCCACCATGTCCCTCGGTCCCATTGAAATTCTTTCCACTTCTTCCACTGGAGTAAAACCCGCCACCGCCACCACCTGAAATATCATGGTATTAATTAAATTAGAAAACTTTTGATGGGGATATCGTGAGATTATAGCAGAATAAACATTTCGCACGAAATTTTTAAATTACTACCTAAGTGCTGAAATGCTAAAGATTATTAAAAAATTCTTTTACCTTGTCCGTTGCTCCCTCTTGACCATGGTCTGACTCCAGGATTCCCTGTCGTGCTTGTGCTGGCGTCACATTTTTTATATCTTGAAAATACATATTGTACCCCTCCTCCGCCTCCAGCTATTATTAAAGGTGTGTTGGCTCCTCTCACTACAAATGTACCTCCACCGCCGCCAGAAGAATCAGACTTCTTGTTTATTCCTCCTTCTTGACCTACAAGTACCTGGATGACTTCACCCTTGTTTAAGCGGAATGTTCCAATCATTCTTGCTCCTCTCCCGCGGTACCGAGGGCTGTACATCCCTTTATCATACCCTCCAGCTGCCCCAATTGCTTCTATTCTGTAATCACCAGTGTACGGTACAGTCCACTGTTGAATACCGCTGGACAGAGCAACTTGTCCGTCATGATCCTGACCTGCGTAGTAACTTCCGAGCGATGTTGGACCATATCTTCCAGTGGCATTGAGATTTGAGAACCCGGCTTTGAATACTGAGAGGAAAAAAATGTAAAATTGACATCCATTTTTTTTAATTAAGTTGTAATTTCATCTCTATCTCGAATGTTTGTGTTCAGTCTGGCAGCTGGTTGTATGATCAGTTCAAACAGTTGAGAGAACAAACACGTAACATTAAGGGCGCTTTAGATCTCAAGTTTTCCTACCCTGATAAAGAAATTTGAAATCATTTTGATTATCTGGAGGAAACTATGGGATACGCGTTACTCATAACAGGAGGAGTCTTCTCCTGACGAATATAATTTCTGAGCACTGATCGTTAAGTAATTTTTTGAGTGAATTTCCTGTGTAGACATATCAGGCAATGAACCACTTCGAAATCGAAGCGAAATCTGTGGAAAACTTGTCTTATTTAGTTCCTGGTCATTGCCATGATAGAATCCTAAGCCCATTAAATGTAATCCGTACGACCTCGATTTCGTAGATTTCAGGTTGTGCCAATGTTCATTTTGTAAAGGGAAGGTGTGCTTACATAGCACTTATGATAAGTATTTTCCTATGTCACAATTTACATGGAATGAGAAAGTGCCCGTCTGAACTGCAATGATTGAATTAAGTATCCGTTTTAAACGCACATTTATCAGAGTTTATCTTCGGCGCTGTTTCAAGTGGATCACGCAAATCGTTATCAGTTAAACTTCTGAAAAAAAAAAAAAAAAAAAAAAAAAAAAAAATCACAAAACATTTCTTATACTTACCGCAAGTGAATCTCGTTTTGCATTTGCATGTGTAAGACCCGTCTGTGTTATTGCAACTTGCATTATAGTGACAGCCATGGGTTTGGCTGGTGCACTCGTCGACATCTAAAAAGTTTGAAAGTAAACAAGAAAAGGGCAGGAACACCAAATAAAGAGAAATCCTAGAAACGAGTTGCGATTAAAAACTATCGTAGACTATTTAAGAAATTTTCAGGCTCGGACGCAATTCAATCCCACTGCCTCTAGTTACTGGTTGGTCAATGGTAACAGCTGAAATACGATGTACAATGCACAAAAACAGGAAATTTTTAAGTGAACAAGGACCGGTGAACGAAAATCCATCAATGTTTTTGGCAAAATCGACCGTCATGCATATCAGCAATCAACTGTTTTGGTCTTCAGATAAATCACTCTCAGCGAGAATGAAAAGAGACCAAGAGGGGTGTCATTGGACCGTCTTCTCCCTACGTTTGAGGAACAGTGATCGATTATAGTTAAAAACTTTCCCCATTTAATATGTTCAATACTTGGAATTCATTCAAAGTTGGCTGATAACAACTGAAAATGGTTAGATCATTTAGTAGAGCGCCTTACTGCTGTGTGGGAGGTCGAGAGTTCACGCCCCGAACCGGACCAACACTCATGATCACAGTCTTAAAATTACTGAGGAGAATGTGCTATTTTTTACTCTGACATCTACAAATGATTTGACATTTTAGTTTTCTCGGATGAGGACAAAAAAAAACGTAGGCCCCCTACTCCTTCATCTCTTCTGTACTGGCTGATGGGGACGTTGAATAATTTATACACTTATCGCAGAGAGTAGGAACACAGCTCTCAGTGTTGTGGTTTTGCCTTAGTTCTTAAAATGGGGCCATCTACAAAAATTTCCTTAAAAAATTCTAAACTTCTCAATGCAGTCTGGCCAAAGTCCCAAACAAACCTTTGTAAAGCGCCATAAGCCATTGGATATGATGCTATGAAAATATTTCATTATTATCAATATGTCTCTATGAATATCTATGAATCTCACCTGTGCAATTCCGACCGTTCCCCTGATAACCTTCTGTACAGCTACACGTAAATGATCCCTCGGTATTATTACAAACAGCTTTGGCATGACAGTCATGAGAGTTGTCAATACACTCGTTTCTATCTAAAAAAAGAAAACAATGAGGACTGATATGAGCTTATCCACAAGCTGGATGAAGAACCTTCAGAATATTGAAAAAGAATATTAGTGAGACCTTTTTCACAGTTTTCTCCCGTGTAATTATCTGGACACAGGCAAATGTATCTCTTGTCGGTATATCCATTGAGACAGGTGGAATCATGGAGACAGGGAGTACTGGTGCACGAATTCTGATAGGATAGAAAACGCCTGTTAGCAGTTATACTTGACCGAAAACATCCAAGCTGATTTCAGACGATTGTATTGTAATGTAAAGTAAAATCCTACCTCAGAGGCCCAGAGAATAAAACCTTTTCGTATTTCTTTATCTTCACGATGTTGGGTGTGGTCAAAATTACTCAGTTGGCAGAGCCTGAAGCCTGTCTCGTTTGGTGGGCCAATGTTCACAGACAGACAGTTGCTCTCCATGAAGCACTCATATCTACAGTCATGAGTCATGAGCTCCTTCCCCATTGGCAAGTAAATTTCTTTAAATACATAACGCTGAGGAGCACATTCTCCTTCTGATCTCTTAAACCTAAGACTTCGGCAGCCAAAATCTGGAGGAATTGGATTCATGTCAAAAAATGTCATCAGAATGACAGCTCGAGAAATACTTATACTCTGATCAGAAACGTGAATACCACTGCTAGGGCGATACACATCAGATATTACAGAATTTATTAGCGTACCCTAAACACTTTGGGTCAGCACAAAAAAAAGATAAATAAAAAATAAAAATAAAATGAAAATAATATAAAAAGAAAATCAACAACGCTACTATTTTCAGTCCGTTAGTTAACGAAACACACACACACACAGTGACTCCACTGATAACAGAATAAATAACGGGAAAAAATATCTTGCCGTTAGATCTTCATGGTAGCCTTTTGCATTAAAAGGGTTTTTGGTATTAAGGTAGTTCGTAAAAGATAGCTAAAAAATAAATCAATAAGGTTTCAAACTTATCGCTCCGCGTAATATCTGATGCAAGAGATCATTTTACCGTAAAATTGCTTTAAAAGGAAAATTTTCAGGTTTTAATATGAATCTTCAGTTTCTTAAAAACAAAGTGTTTTTTATTACGAGGTAGTTTTCACACTTCAACTGTGTGTTCCATTGGTAGACAATATCAGATTTTTTACTTGCAATCTTAGCTTTAAACTTATTTGAAAACTATGGTTGGCTTATGTCGCCTTATACATAAAATATATAAAAATATGTTAATCCTGAATGATAAAACTCTATGTTATTTTAGTTAACGGAAGAAACCACCTGTTTTGGTGTTGTTGAGCAAGCAGAATATCTGATGTTTGTCTTTGTTAATGCTAATGCCTAGCTGCTACTTAAATGGGCGGCTAAAAACTCTTTCCTCTTCCTCGTTGCAAATCGTTGTTCCTCTTAAATTTCGTTTACATACATCATCTTTTAGTCTCAAGACCTATCGTGCAGAAAAACTGATATTAAAGGAACGAAATGCAGTTTGGGAAAGCATCATGATATGTAGAGCATGCCATCATGAAGGTTTTCTTAAGTACGGGGACGCAGCAAGTGCGCTTCGCACGCTGCAGCTGAAGGGCGACTAACAATAAAATCTATGTGCTACGCGTGAAACAAAAAACTGATTAAAAAATAATTTCTGCCTTCCCGTCGATTTTTAGCCGAAAGTTTACTAACGAAAATGTTGGTTCATTTTTTTTACCGGAAAATAACATAGATTGGCAAGTTTTCCTTGTCATTTCAACTAAAAAATCGACCACAATTTGCCATTACTTAAAAACTTATTGATCATAGAAATAAAGTCGACAATGTTTATTGACAAAGAGGGGTAAAAGAAAAATTTTGCACTGAAAACGGTGAAGTGTACAAGTTTGTTTGGCGAAAGACACATGGAGCTTATCAGGTATTTTAACGTAAATTAAAGTTCAACTTGGTACTTTTTACTGATATAATTAATTAGAAGTCGATGAAACAAATAACTTTGAAAAAGATGCAGAAATTTGCTTTTCACAAGTCTTACATTTCTAGCTATTTCGAAGAAATAACGGACTGAAATTCTAAACAAAAGACGGATGAGCACAGGAAAACAGTTAAATATCAAAGACTTACCACCGTTTCCATCCGCAGGGCAGTGAAGCCATCCTCCCCACAGAACTGCTATGGAAAGCAAAGATAGAGATAGTTTAGAGGGAATCTTCATCCTTGAAAAGAATGCTTGTACATGTTTAGCGTTTACAGTGAAGCAGGACACTTTACCATCAAGCTTAAATGCTATTCGAAGTTGGCGAAGTTGCGTCATTGTTTAAAAATTGTCCAATCTCGTAGCAATCGTCTCGTTTCTCAAGTTACTTTAAAAGCCTTTTAATATATTCCTTCTATTTCTTCTTTGACAGGAATATAAAAATAGATTTAGAACGTCAGTTTTCTTATCATTTTCAACCATTCATAGATTTACAAGATAATAAGATCTCTTCAAAATGTAAATTGGCCTCCGCAAACAGTTCCTAAAGTTGACGTTTCGAGCGTTGGCCCTAATTCTTCTTCCTTCTGACGAAGGGCTAACGCTCGAGACGTCGGCTTAGAAACTCTTCACAGTAGCAAATTTACACTATCAACTCAGCTGATAAAACCGATCTTTTAATACCCCTACCGACGAAGTACCACGGCCTCTTTAAAAAAATACCCCGTTTATTTGTTAATGTAGGCTCAATGAGTCAAATCATTATGCAACGTTGACATTCGTTCATCTGTCATTGCTGAATAAAAGTGTCTTACCAGAGCAATCCAATCCAGTGCATTTAAATATTGTTGACGACACAAGTTTATTACGAATATCGTCCTGAGGAGAGGCTAAAATGAAAAATACATCTATTTTTGTAACCTAAAAATTACTTGATTTGTGTTTGGGCAAGCAAAAAAGAAAACTAAATTCTCCTTCTGTTAGTGACTTTACGAGGGTTCAAAAATATATCTTTGAGATATTCATTATGTAGAAAAAATGTGATCTTCCTGTCTGGCAGCTGGAGATCGTCAAACATGAGTACAGCAGGCTGTAGTGAAGATGACCTGCGCAAAGCCACCCTTAGAATCATCTAGAAGATCATTTAAAGCATCATTTGAATTGAAATATCAAGTTTTTGTTGTCTTCTCTAAAACCCTTTTAATATCGATTTTACTCTTTCTTTTTATTGCATCAATATTTATGCTTTCGACATCTTTCATAATCCTTTTTTCCTTCCTGATCTTTCAATTTATCCTTTCCCTCAATCTCTCCGCTTTCTATTGAATTTTCAGAATTTTTCCCTATAGCGTCCAAATGTTTGCCGCATGCATCGCAGCCTTAATGAAAATTTGCGCGCAGGCTACGCAATCTCACAACACGATGAAACGTAGTGTCCATGTCATCTCCTAGAACTTCCTGACAATCTCAGAAAGAAAAATGATAATAATCACATAAAAAATAAGTAAAGAGATAAAAATCGAAAAAAAAAAATGTTGATGAAGCGATAAATTGATGAAATATAAAGACGATGATCGGGAATTTTTATTTCATGAAACTAACGCGTATCGAGAATTCTGTGAACTAATTCTTCAGCTGATTTCGGAACTCTCATGTTAAATACGAAAAACAAGCTTAACGAACGCTGAACACTTTACATCCTAAGATCAAAATGAATAATCTCCATACTTTACCTTTATATTTCCACTGCTGCTGATAAGGAGACTGTTTGACAAACAAAGCTTCCTGGCTTGGTGATCATTTCCTTTATTCTCATGATCTTAGTGAAGAATTTGATTGTATTATTATTAACTCTTAGAGGTTGAGGGATTAAGGAGAGTCTATGAATTTTGGCCGGGGAGGTTTTCAAGTCTCGTACCCAGACCTTCAATGGCCAATCGGTTTTAACCGTCAGTTATATGGTAGGATCTGGGTAAGAGATTTGGGGTTCTCAAACAGGCTTGTCGGGAAAATGTAGTTGCGTCCTTTTTTTCCTCTTAAAGTATTTATTCCGCTCTGCTTCTATTGGTTAAACAGAGTGGTACAATTTAAATTGCAACTCAAAATATTTTTCATGAAAGCCATAATCGTTGCGGCGGATGACGTAGTCCCCTCTTCGGGAACAATTAGATGAAATGGCGTGAGTATCTCACAACGGATCGAAAACCGAAAAAATGGTTCCTATGTAGATCATCAATCGGCGATAAGTTAGTTGGCACAAAAGATGTTTTAGTAGTGGCATACCACACTTAGAGACAAGGCGGAGACGAAGTCGTTGACGTTGCCCCTATGATGAATTTTCATCTGTCATTTCTTCTTCAGCTATTTTAGCTAAATTTCCCTCTCTTTCGCACAGGACGAAGCTAGGGTAACTTTGTATAGTGTTCCAATCTTTCATTGTCTTTAAAGGAATGAATATGTTGGAACGGACACGCAGTAAAACAATATACTGGAGAACTTTTTTTTTTGATAGCTTGACACTAAATTTCTAGAACCACTTAAAATGCAGCAACAGCTTTAATTTACCACCTAAAATAACTGAAGTGTATTCACCTTAAAGGCTTTTAAAACAATCAAAAAGCAATATTTCCAATAATATAATGCGAATTACGTCATATGCATCATGTGGATCCAAGAGCGATCATCTTCCCGGGTATTTGCTCCAGGCGGGGTAGAGAAGGGGGGGGGGGAGGGGGAGGGGTGAACGAAGTTTTTCCTCCTTTTGTAAGAAGAGCCCCCTACACAGATTGAGCCATTTTGGGTCACGTGAAAAGACATTGCATGCACTCGTATGAGTCCAGGCCGGATATCACTTTGTTCGCAGAGTTTTGCTTTTACGAGAGGTTTTCTATTCCTATGTAATCTCCTTTATAAGAACAAAGCTCGACTGAAGCTGGATCGAGATAATCGCACTTTCATGGAATCAGCAACTTATATACACAAACCTTATTTGAGTTGTAAATACAAGAAATTAATGTAAATATTGTAAAACTTTTAATCAAAATGTTTTCAACTCTCTCACTCAAAAATGAATCTTCCATTTCAACGGCCTACCGCTGACTCCTTAGCTCTATCTTCCATATGTCTGTTGACTGTGTAAGCCTTCGGTATTTCTGATATAAGAAACAAGAACAAAAACAAGAAGGAAAAAACAAACTGGATCGAACGAAAACAATAATAAAAATAATAATAATAATAATAATAAAATTATTAAACAAATAAATGTCGTAACGATGGTTAAGAGCTTTGAAAAGTCAATCTAATGCTTTCCTGGTCAATGGCAGGAAGAGCTTACCATATATGTTTTAACTAAAACAATAAAATACATGTATAAGGCGACACGTGATTTTAATTGACTTTTCTGTTCAATTATTCATCGAAATCTAGGGTTAAATACAGTTAACTTAATAAAAAGAGACCTCTTTTCAGATGGTAAAGCCTATCTCCTTAAATAACATTCTTTTCATATCCATTGTTAAATATCTCAGTATTTGCATACATTTTAAAATGCTGAGCCACACCTCTAAAAAAGCTTTTAAATTCCGAATTCTGATAGTAAATAATCAAACGGAATACATGATTCAATGGCATTAGGATGAATACATGGTATTTTACAATGGATCAAGAACTACGAGATTGGCTCCTGAGTGGATCTACATTCGACAATAAGGTTAGTTGACACATAACATTCACGTAATCGCTTTTAGGGATGTTTTATTAAATATTTTTTTTTAATTTACAGGGTTTACTACAACACCCCGTCACCCACTCAATTTTATAAAAAAAAGTGCAAAATCTTACAGCACTAAAGTCAATGAAATGCAGTTTTTCCATCACAGACAGAAGAAAAAAAATGCATTGTTGTGCTGTGGACGAGTGGGTGAAATGCTATGAGAAATAAAACTGGTCTACTATTCCAGAATTGATCTTCAACCGTAATGTGTCAACAACTTTGTCGCTAATTGTAATGTAGAATAACATGAGCTGTTTTTCCCCTCAAGATTCTTAGTCTAATCATTATGAATATTCAAGCTCCATAACATTATCTAACTTGTTGTCATATCTAATCTCTATTAACCCTTTAACTCCCATGAGTGACCAAGACAGAATTTCTCCTCACTATATCTATACAATATCATGCAGACAAGTGATGAGAATAAAGAAAAATATAAATTGTGGGATTACTAATTGATCTGATACCAAATTCTCCAAGCTAACATAATGAGAATCATTTGGCGGACAGTAATGAGAATTACTAATGAGATCTTGAGAGTTAAAGGGTTAAAATCACCTATGCATTGGATGGCAAGCGTTTCGGTTGTTTTTTCTACAGTAGTGTGATGGTCACCTGACCATGGCCAGCGTTGTTGTAACAACATTCATTCTGCTGATTGTTTCCAACATTGTAGGATCCACCACCACCCCCACAGGTATTTGAATAATCAATTCCACTGCCCCCCCCAGAGTATCCTCCTCCTCCTCCCCCTCCTCTCCGCCGTCCCTCAGCTCCACCTCCTCCGCCAAACCCACCATAGATGTAGAGATACTCTGATCTCCCACCCACCCCTCCCTGTAGAAATCCCTTACCACCCTCTCCACCATATCCCTTGTTTCCATTGAAATTCTTTCCACTTCTTCCACTGGAGTAAAACCCGCCGCCACCACCACCTGAAATATCATGATATTAATTAAATTAGAAAACTTTTGATGGGGATATCGTGAGATTATGGCAGAATAAATATTTTGGACGAAATTTTAAAATTACTACCAAAATGCTGAAATGCTAAAGATTATTGAAAAATATTCTTACCTGATAATCCATAATCAGCAGTCTGTGCACCATGTCCATTGCTCCCCCCTGTCCATGATCTGAACCCAGGATTCCCTGTCGTGTTTAAGCTGGCGTCACATTCTGTATGTCTTGTATATACATATAGTACCCCTCCTCCGCCTCCAGCTATTATCAAAGGTGTGTTGGCTCCTCTCACAACAAATGTACCTCCACCACCTCCAGAAGAATAAAGCCTCTTGTTTATTCCTCCTTCTTGACCAACAAGTACCCGGATGACTTCACTCTTGTTTAAGCGGAATGTTCCAATCATTCTTGCTCCTCTTCCGCGATACTGAGAGCTGTTAATCTGCAGATCGTACCCTCCAGCTGCCCCTATTACTTCTATTCTGTAATCACCAGTGTACGGCACAGTCCACTGTTGAATACCGCTGGACAGATCAACTTGTCCGTCATGATCCTGACCTGCGTAGTAACTTCTGAGCGATGTTGGACCACATCTTCCAGTGGCATTGAGATTTGAGAACACGGCTTTGAATGCTGAGAGGAAAACGTAAAATTGACATCCATTTTTTTTATTAAGTTGTAATGTCATCTTTATCTCGAATGTTTATGTTTAGTCTGGCAGCTGGTATAATGATCAGCTTAAACAGCTGAGAGATCAAATACGTATCATTAAGCTCGTTAAGGGCAGTTCAGATCTTAAGTTTTCCTACTCTGATAAAGAAATTTGAAAGTAGTTTGACAATTTGGAGGAAAATATAAAATACGTGTTATTTATCACAGAAGGAGTCTTCTCGTGACGAATATAATTTCTGAGCACTGATCCTTATTGGGTTTTTTGCGTGAATTTCTTGTGTGAACCACTTCAGCGCAATTTATGAAGAACTCTTCCTATTTAGTTCCTGGTCATTACCACGATTCAATCCTAAGCTTATTAAATGTAAATCCGAACGACCTCGATTTCGTAGATTTCAGGTTGTTTCAGTGTTCATTTGGTAGAGAGAAGGTGTGCTTGCATAGTACTTAGGATAAGTATTTCCCGTTGTCATAATTTACATTGAATGATAAAGTACCTGTCTGAACTGCAATGATCGAAGTAAGTGTTCATTTTAAACGCGCGTTTTATTAGAGTTTATCTCTGGCGCCGTTTCAAGGGGATCACGCAAATCGTTATCAGTTAAACTTCTGAAAAAACTATTAAGAAAAAAACAATTACACAACATTTCTTATACTTACCGCAATTGAATCCCGTTTTGCATTTGCATGTGTAAGAGCCGTCTGTGTTATTGCAACTTGCATTATAGTGACAGCCATGGATGTGGCTGGTACACTCGTCCACATCTAAAAAGTTTGAAAATAAACAAGAAAAGGTTGGGAACATCAAATAAAGAGATATCTTCGCGATGTTGGGTGTGGTCAAAACTACTCAGTTGGCAGAGCCTGAAGCCTGTCTCGTTTGGTGGGCCGATGTTCACAGACAAACAATTGCTCTCTATGAGGCACTCATATCTACAGTCATGAGTCATGAGCTCCTTTCCCATTGGCAAGTAAAATTCTTTAAATACGTAACGTTGAGGAGCACGTTCTCCTTCTGACCTCTTAAACCTAAGACTTCGGCAGCCAAAATCTGGAAGGGATTGGATTCATAAGGAAAAATGTGATCAGAATTTCAGCGAAAGAAATACTTACGCTCTGATTAGAAACGGGAATACTACTATCAGATATTACAGAATTTATTATTGCACCTTAAAACACTTCGGGTCAGCACAAAAAAAAAAAAAAAAAAAAACAATAAATCAACAACCCTACCATTTTCAGTCCGTTAATTAATGAAACACAAATAAATCTTTTTAAAGTGACTCCACTGATAGCATAATAAATAACGGAAAAAATGTTACAGTTAGATCTTCATGGCAGTCTTTTGCATTAAAAGGGCTTTTGGTGTTAAGGTAGTTCGTAAAAGATGGCTAAAAGATAAATCAGTTGGCTTTCAGACTTATCCCTCCACGTACAATCTGATGCAAGAGATTATTTTATCATAAAATTGCTTTAAAAAGAAATTTTCAGACTTTAATATGAATTTTCAGTTTCTTAAAAATAAAGTGTTTTTTTTTTATTACGAGGTAATTTTCACATTACAACTGTTTTTTCCATCGGTAGAGAATATCAGATTTTTTTACTTGCCCTGCAATCTTAACAGCTTTAAACCTATTTGAAAACTCTGGTTGGCTTATGTCGCCTTATACATAAAATGTGTGAAAATATGTTCGGCCTGAATTATAAAACTCTATGTTATTTTAGTTAAGGGAAGAAACCACCTGTTTTGGTGTTGATGAGCAAACAGAATATCTGATGTTTGTCTTTGTAAATGCTAATGAGCGACTAAAAACTCTGCCTCGTTGCAAATCGTTCTTCCTCTCAAATTTCGTTTACATACATCTTCTTTTAGTCTCAAGACCTATTGTGCTGAAAAGCTGATATTTAACGGAACGAAATGCAGTTTGGGAAAGAGTGGTGATATGTAGGGCATGCCATTATGAAGGTTTTCTTAAGTTCGGGAACTCAGCCAGTGCGCTACACAAGCCGGCAGCTGAAGAGCGAGCGCAATGCTCGACAAGTTTCAAAAGCTTACACAATTTTACAAAGAAATGACATTTAGGCCGTAACATTATGGAAACTCAACATTTTCTTTTCTTTTCTCATTTTTCCTTTTTTCTATTCAAGTTACAATCTCTTAGGCGCCTTGGTGTCTACGTAAACAACCAATTTGTAATTCTCAGCAAGAAAACCAGAATCGCTCCAAAATTTGCGTCGCCACTAGCGAAAAATAATTTTTGGCCAGACCGTCCGTGAGGACAGCGAAAGTGTAGATTTCACAGATTTTGTCCAGCGCGCAGCGACTGCAATGATATAGCTCGTAGAATTCTATTTTGCTACAAGTTACAAGGTGTATTCAGTTAGGTCACAAACAAAATATGGAAACTTCAACTGAAATATTTTTCATATCAGTGTGATCAGAGGAGATCCCTTTCTTCGACTTTAATTTGCATATCACAAATTAACCAAATTGTACGAAATGATTCTCAAAATGCAGGCGTTAATGGATCTCAAAAAGCATATCAGTGCATAGCTTACATGTGTCCTAAACCCTTTTCATAGGCAAAAAATAAAAGGAAACTTTTTCCGACGGGAAGTCGAGTGGACCGCCCTTAGCGATAGCCGCACTTAAGTAGTGCATTCAGTTAAGTAGTGTATTTAGTGCAGATTGCTTAAATGACTGACAACTGTTTAATAACAGCCATCAGTTTCACTGTCTTGAGTTTACTTGAAAGAACTTCAATATTTTTACTGGAAAATAAAATAGATTGGCAAGTTTTTCTTGTTATTTCAACTTAAAAATCGACCACAATTTTCCTTTTCTTAAAAACTTATTGTTCATAGAAATAACATCGACAATGTTCAAAACTAAAGTGGGTGCCAAAGTGGGACAGCATTTAATTATAAGCTGCGACAAGCGCTAATACAAAATCCGACAGGTATTATAACGTATGACGATTATTACCAAGTGCTACATAACACGTATACGCTTTATCTGTATCCAAAATAGTATTTCTTGTAAAACGCAACTCTCTAAGCAATTTTGAACCTTGTAAGAAAACCAAGGTGGTCTAGTCCCTTCTATTAATCATTTTTTTTAAAAATCTATTTATTAAGGTCTGCAAGGCATAATGGTTTCTTTTTCAGTTAAAACTCTAAAATACCTGTTATGGCGTTATTGAACAAACAACCAAAATACATAGCCCTGAACAGAGTAAGTTTGTCCTTATTCTCTTGTTAGGAATAACCTTCAAGGCGAAAGTTATCTTTTTTGAATTTCCTAATATATATCCTGTCGCGCGATAAATTCACAATTATTACATTGCTAGCTTATTTCGGAGAAATAACGGACCGGAATTCCAAACAAAAGAGGGACGAGCACAGGAAAACAGTTAAATATCAAAGACTTACCTTTGTTTCCATCCGCAGGGCAGTGAAGCCATCCTCCCCACAGAACTGTTAGGGACAGCAAAGATAGAGATAGTTTAGTGGGAATCTTCATCCTTGAAGAAAATACTTGTACATGTGTATCGTTTGCAGTGAAGCGGGGACACTCTACTATCAAACTTAAATGCTATTCGAAGTTGGCAGGTTGCGTCATTGTTTAAAAATTGTCCAATTTCGTAGCAATCGTCTCGTTTCTCAAGTTACTTTAAGAGCCTTTTAATATATTCCTTCCATGTCTTCTTTGACAGGGATATAAAAATAGCTTTTATAACTTCAGTTTTCTTGTCATTTTCATAAATTTTTGACGATAAAAACGAACGGCAAAACACGACGTTTCAGCCAAACTTCGGTCATTTTCAAGTGAATACTAAGAGTGTCACGATGAATGATTTGCGTGTGAGAAGTTTAAAACATTTTGGAAGTGTAAACGGGCTATAAGAACATACAAAGGGAATAAATAATTGTAAGCTAATTTAAAACCAGATTAAAAATAAAAATAAAAATTAGCACCTTATTGAAACTTTTGCACAAATTGAGTCCGACTGCACATTGAGAGCAGGTTTCAGTTATTGTATAAAAAACATTTCATAAAAGAGGCAGTCAAATTTGTTCGTACACTTTTTTAAAACACTAAAATTCTTCGTAGGATCCCTTGGGGCCAAAGAATGCTTGTTGCCAAAATGCTTGCCAATCGATGAAGTCGAGTTTCTGCGTTCTTTAATACGTTGGTGCAGATAGAAGCGTGTAAAACCAACATATCGTGCATCGCACAGGTCACATTTAAGTTTGTAAACAAGGCACTGTTGGTTTACAACCGGTGGCTTCACCTCTTGTAACTCGAGATCTTGTTCGATCTTCTGGCTGACAAATACAGGCTATACGGTCGTTTGGACCTTCTGGCTCAAATATTTAAGTTGGACACGTACAATATCAGCTGAGGCCTGGATCTTTAAACGGTAGGACAACACGAATGGGGTCTGTTCGATCGGTGACAGTCGGTGAGGAAACAGGTTGTTCCGATGCTTTGGCGGCGATGAGACGTGGAAAAGTAGAGTTGAAAAGTTTTTCAGGATATTTTAGTAGAGAAAACATTGTATCAGTCGTCTACATGGCTCTTGTAATGCAGCAGAAGGCCAGTATTTGTGGGCTTAATGTACACCTTAGTCTGGAAGCATGCTATAACTCTCCCTCTCCATGGTAAACTTATAGGAATGGTAGTGGTTTCACGAGGAAATTAACTGCTGACATAACATCAGCAGTCAATTTCATCATCAGCTGAGTTGATGAATAAAGTTGACGTTTCGAGCGTTGGTCATAATTCGTTTTCATTCTAACGAAGGGCTAACGCTCGAAACGCCGCATTAGGAACTCTTTACAGTAGGAAACTAAATTTACACTATCAACTCAGTTGATAAAGCCGATATTTTAATACACCCTGCCGACGAAGCACCACAGTTTCTTTAAAAAAATACCCCGTTAATTCGTAAATGTAGGCTCAATGAGTCAGATGCTTTTGCAACGTTGACATTCGTTCATCTGTCATTGCTGAATAAAAGCGTCTTACCAGAGCAATACAATCCAAGGCATTAAAATGTTGTCGATGACACAAGTTTACCACGAATATCGTTTTGAGGAGTGGAGAAGATGAAAAAATATATATATTTTTATTTTTAACCCTAAAAATTACTTGATTTGCGTTTGCGAAAGCGAAAAAGAAAACGAAATTATCCTTCATTTAGTGATTTTACGGGTGCACAAAAAGTGTCTTTGAGATATTTATTATGGAGATTGTCATATGAGGAGAGTAAGCTGCATTGAAGATGACCTGCGCAAAGCCACCCTTAGAATCATCTAGAGGATTATTTAAAGCGTCATTTGAATTGAAATATGAAGTTTTTGTAGTCTTCTCTAGGACCTCTTCAATATCGATTTTACTCTTTGCTCTACTGTTGTTTATTAGCTCCAAAATGTTCGCCGATAGGTTTTATTCAAGCAAAGAAATATCCATTATTGCGCTATTTGTATCTTTAACTGCATCAATATTTCTGCTTTCTACATCCTTCAGATTCTTCTTTTTTCCTGATCTTTCAGTCTTTCCTGTCCCTCAATTTCCCCGCTTTCTAATGACTTTTCAGAATTTTACCCTAGAGCGTCTAAATGTTTTCCACATGCATCGCAGCTTTAATGAAAATTTGCACGCAGGCTACGCAACCTCGCTACATGATGAAACGTAATGTCCATGTCACCCCCTAGAACTTCCTGATAGTCTCAAAAAAAAAAAAAAAAAAATAATAGTCACATAAAAATTAGTAAAGAAATAAAAACCAAAAAAAAAAAAATGTCGATGAAAGGATAAATTTATGAAATATAAAGACGATGATCTGGAATTTTTATATCATGAAACTAACGCGTATCGAGAATTCTATTAAATAATTCTTCAGCTGATTTCGGAACTCTCATGTGAAATACGAATAACAAGCTTTACGAACGCTTAACACTTTACTTCCTAAGATCAGAATGAATAATCTCCATACTTTCCCTTTATATTTCTACTGCTGCTGATAAGGAGACTGTTTGACAAACAAAGCTTCCTGGCTTGGTGATCATTTCCTTTATTTTCATGATCTTAGTGAAGAATTCCATTTTATTATTGCAGGGAGAAATTAGGTTCTGGTCACTCTTGGAGGTTGAAGGATTAAGGAGAGTCTATGAATTTTGGCTGAGGAAGTTTTCAAGTCTCGTACCCAGACCTTCAATGGCCAATCGGTTTTAACCTTCAGTTATACGATAGGATCTGGGTAAGAGATTAGGGGTTCCCAAACACGGTTTTCTTTTGTTACACTAGAGCTTAAATAAGTTAAGAACCATTTCAATATATATGAATCTTTGATATTTCTATTTGAGTAGTAACTTGCCCTCTGTTTTTGGAAGAATTTAAGATAAGACATGAAGTTGAAGGAAGAGGTGGGCTGAGAGCCGCGCCACCAGATCCTCCTCCTTAACTCGGTGGTATTTTGAAGCCCGTCCGTTTACGTGATGCCGCACAGGGACAAAAAAGGGAGAAGTGTTCCCTGACGGTTTTAATGAGGTAACTGTTGGCTGTAAAACGGCCAAAAATGTAGCCGTGATCTGCAAGAGAAAAGTTAAACGTGAGGAAAATTTGAGGTAAACACAATGAAAATATTTTAACCGATAGCCGTAAATTGGAAAAAATTTAGCCGTGAGCCGTAAAAGCCATCACTCCGTTAAAGACCGTCTTTTGTCAACAACATGACACACTCTCCGCTTTTAATCTTAGAGAGTTCAACCCTTTAACTGCCGGATCAAATTTGTAATTCTCTTTACTGTCAACTATACAAGTCTTATAATGTTAGTTCAGAGATATATGTTATTTGCCGGCTGGGAGGTCCGTATGGTGAAAAACTGTGACCGAGGTCTTGAAAATACTGCCCGAGGCCGTAGGCCGAGGGCAGCATTTTCAAGACCGAGGTCACAGTTTTTCACCATACGGACCGACCCTTAGCCGGTAAATAACATATTTATTGTTTTTAAACTTGACGAAATTCTTTCCGAAAGAACCCGAATGATTTAGGGCTGTTAATACGGCAAGATCTTCCATAAACTGAACAATTTTTGAGCGAGTAAATGGTAGTTAAAATAGAGGTGAAGCAGATTAAAGAGAGATGCCTCAGCGAAACATTTTCATTTCCGTAACGATAAAGGTGATTTAAAAGGCTTCCAAACAAACTTTGAAACATTATTTTTACAAGTATCTGTCACAATCTGACACCTGTCAATTAGAGAGCGCGTAAGAAAAAAAAAAGCATAAGAGCATTTGAAAAACAACGGAACTAGTTTGGCAAGGACTGTCACGACAATGTTTTCTTCAAAATCAGTCAATAATCTAACGGAAAGTATTATTCACTCTCATCGACGATTCATTCATGTACGAAGATTTACCTCTGTTCATTAAGTAAACGGCGAGGAAAGTAATTGTGAGTAAATTCAATTTTTTTATTTTGAAGTTGTGAGAGTTTGCTCGTTTGTTTGCTGCAATGGCGTGTGTAAATCTGGTCTTTCCTTCACAAAAACTAAATTCGAACGGCACACTCCAACGAGACACAAGGGAATTTCATGCGGCCTTTTCTCAAAAAATTCCTTCAGTTTCTGTTGTTTAATTTACGGTACAAATGTCCAAATTGAACGGAATTGGAAAGACTCACCGGGAGCCTATATTTGTTGTAGAACTTAAATTAAAACTTTGCTCGCTCTTTCTCTACTAACAATTTTCTCGAGAAAATTCAGATATTAAATTAATGAAAGTTCCATCGTTCAGTTTGACTGTAACCAAATACCTCACGTTTTAACTTTCTGGGTACTTTTTGTGAACGATTAAAATTAATTGCAGACAGTTTTTAGGCCGCTTGTCAACCAACGTAATGACACTATTGTTTATACAAATTCATTCTGAAACCAATATTTTTCTGTCAACCAAAGTGATTTCAGAGATAGAAAAGAGAGGATTCATAAGTTATTTATCGGCTTGAGGTAGTGACCGACTTGTTTGCTTTAAAATACTGCCCAGCCGGAAAACGAGGTATATTTATTAAAAATGACAACGAAAGTTGGGATGTACTCGGTGATTCACGAAAGCGTTACCGTGGCCCGTGGGCAGAGATAGGAAAATACTGACCGGGTAAAGAACCAATCAGATTGCAGGATTCGTTACCGTGCCCTCTAAAAAAACAATAAAATTTAGTATTACATCAACTAATTATCCAAAAATTGATATTTTTCTTTATTCTCATCACTCATCTGGTTGATATTGTATTGATAGCGGCGCTCGCAGAGCGTAGCCCATAATTATTCAATATCGTAGTAACCCATTACGCGGAAAAAATTTGGATGTACTACTGTACGACCGTACGACCGTACAAGGTGCTACTTTTAACACGCGTGGTCAACTGTACCGCGGGCACATCAACGCCACGGCTTTGTTCGGTAGTCCAGTGGTCAGTGCGCTGGGCTTCGGGCTTCATCTGTCATTTCTTTTTAATCAGCTGTTTTAGCTAAATTTCCCTCTCTTTCACACAGGAAAAAGCTAGGGTAACTTTGTACGGTGTTCCAATCTTTCATTGTCTTTAAAGGAATGAATATGTTGGAACGGACACGCAATTAAACAATATATTGGAGAACTTTTTTTATTGATAGCTTGACACTAAATTTCTTGAACCACTTAAAATGCAGCAACAGCTTTAATTTACCACCTAAACTAACTGAAGTGTATTCACCTTAAAAGCTTTTAAAACAATCAAAGTGCAATATTTCCACTAATATAATGTGAAGTACGTCATATGCGTTAAGTGGATCCAAGAGCGATCATCTTCCCGGGTATTTGCACTATGCGGGGTAGAGAAGGGGAGGGAGGGGGGGGAGGGGAAGACCGAAGTTTTTCCTCTTTTTGTAAGAAGAGCCTCTTACACAGAGACATTTTGCTTTTACGAGAGGTTTTCTATTCCTATATGTTCTCCTTTATGAGAACAAAGCTCGACTGAAGCTTGGATCGAGATAATCGCACTTAAAAGGAATCAGTAACCTATATACACAAACCTTATTTGAGTTGCAAATACAAGAAATTAATGTAAATATTGTCAAACTTCTAATCAAAATGTTTTCAACTCTCTAAGTCAAAAAATGAATCTTCTATTTCAACGGCCTACCGCTAACTCCTTAGCTCTTTCTTCCATATGTCTGTTGACTGTGTAAGCCTTCGGTATTTCTGATATAAGAAACAAGAGCAAAAACAAGAAGGAAACAACAAATTGGATCGAACGAAAATAATAATAATAATAAAAAAATTATTTAACAAACAAATGTCGTAACGATGGTTAAGAGCTGTAAAAAGTCAATCTAATGCTCTCCTGGTCAATGGCAGGGAGATCTTACGATTTAGGTTCTAACTATAACAATTAAATACATGTATAAGGTGACACGTCATTTTAATTGACTTTTCTGTTCAATTATTCATCGAAATCTATGGTTAAATACAGTTAACTTAATAAAAAGAGACCTCTTTTCAGATGGTAAAGCCTATCTCCTTAAATAACTCTCTTCTTCTATCCATTGTTAAATATCTCAGTATTTGCATACATTTTAAAATGCTGAGCCGCACCTCTAAGACATGCTTTTAAATTCCGAATTCCGATGGCAAATAATAAAACGGAATACATGATTCAATGGCATTTGGATGAATACATGGTATTTTACAATGGATCAAGAACTACGAGATTGGCTCCTGAGTGGATTTACATTCGGCAATAAGGTTAGTTGACACATAACATTCACGTAATCGCTTTTAAGGATGTTTTATTAAATACTTTTTTAATGTACAGGGTTTACTACAACACCCCGTCACCCACTCAATTTTATAAAAAAAAAAGTGCAAAATCTTACTGCACTAAAGTCAATGAAATGCCGTTTTTCCATCACAGACAGAAGAAAAAAAAAAGCAATGTTGTGCTGTGGACGAGTGGGTGAAATGCTATGAGGAATAAAACTGGTCTACTATTCCAGAATTGATCTTCAACCGTAATGTGTCAACAACTTTGTCGCTAATTGTAATGTAGAATAACATGAGCTGTTTTTCCCCTCAAGATTCTTAGTCTAATCATTATGAATATTCAAGCTCCATAGCATTATCTAACTTGTTGTCATATCTAATCTCTATTAACCCTTTAACTCCCACAAGTGACCAAGACAGAATTTCTCCTTACTATATCCATACAATATCATGCAGACAAGTGATGAGAATAAAGAAAAATATAAATTGTGGGATTACTAATTGATCTGATACCAAATTCTCCAAGCTAACATAATGAGAATCATTTGGCAGACAGTAATGAGAATTACTAATGAGATCTTGAGATTTAAAGGATTAAAATCACCTATGCATTGGATAGCAAGCGTTTCGGTTGTTTTTTCTACAGTAGTGTGATGGTCACCTGACCATGGCCAGCGTTGTTGTAACAACATTCATTCTGCTGATTGTTTCCAACATTGTAGGATCCACCACCACCCCCACAGTAATCTACAAAACTGCCCCCCCCAGAGTATCCTCCTCCTCCTCCTCCTCCTCCTCCTTCTCTTCTTCCATACCACCATTCCCCAGCTCCACCTCCTCCTCCTCCGCCAAACCCACCATAAGTGACGTCGACATACCATGATCTCCCACCTACCCCTCCCTGCAGAAATCCCTTACCACCCTTTCCTCTTCCACTTCCTCCACTGGAGTAAAACCCGCCACCACCACCACCTGAAATATCATGATATTAATTAAATTAGAAAACTTTTGATGGGCATATCGTGAGATTATGGCAGAATAAACATTTCATACGAAATTTTAAAATTACCACCAAAATGCTAAAATGCTAAAGATTATTGAAAATTATTCTTACCTGATTGTCTATAATCAGCAGTCTGCGCACCATGTCCATTGCTCCCCCCTGGCCATAATGTGTACCCAGGATTCCCTGTCGTGTTTGAGCTGGCGTCACATTCTGTATGTCTTGATAATACATAACCTACCCCTCCTCCGCCTCCAGCTATTATCAAAGGTGTGTTGGCTCCTCTCACTACAAATGTACCTCCACCGCCTCCAGAAGAATAAGACCTCTTGTTTATTCCTCCTTCTTGACCTACAAGTACCTGGATGACTTCACCCTTGTTTAAGCGGAATGTTCCAATCATTCTTGCTCCTCTTCCGCGGTACTGAGAGCTGTTAATCCGTTGATCGTACCCTCCAGCTGCCCCTATTGCTTCTATTCTGTAATCACCAGTGTACGGCACAGTCCACTGTTGAATACCGCTGGACAGAGCAACTTGTCCGTCATGATCCTGACCTGCGTAGTAACTTCCGAGCGATGTTGGACCACATCTTCCAGTGGCATTGAGATTTGAGAACACGGCTTTGAATGCTGAGAGGAAAATGTAAAATTGACATCCATTTTTTTATTAAGTTGTATTGTCATCTTTATCACGAATGTTTATGTTTAGTCTGGCAGCTGGTATTATGATCAGTTCAAACAGCTGAGAGAACAAATATGTTACATTAAGCTCATAAAGGGCAGTTCAGATCTTAAGTTTTCCTACTCTGAGAAATTTGAAATTATTTTGACTGTTTGGAGGAAGATTTAGGGTACGGGTTACTTATCACAGGAGGAGTCTTCCCCTTTAAGGGGTTTTCGGGCGGATTCCTGTATAAACATATCAAGAAATGAACCACTTCAGCCAAATCTATGGAAAACTCGTCTTATTTAGTTCCTGGTCATTGCCCTGATAGAATCCTAAGCCCATTAAATGTAATTCGTACGACCTCGATTTCGTAGATTTCAGGTTGTTTCAGTGTTCATTTGGTAGAGGGAAGGTGTGCTTGCATAGGATTAGTATTTCCCGTTGTCACGATTTACATCGAATGATAAAGTATCTGTCTGAGCTGCAATGATTGAGGTAAGTATTCGTTTTAAACGCACATTTTATCAGAGTTTATGTCCGGCGCCGTTTCAAGTGGATCACGCAAATCGTTATCAGTTAAACTTCTGAAAAAAACTATTAAAAAAAATCAAACAACATTTCTTATACTTACTGCAATTGAATCCCGTTTTGCATTTGCATGTGTAAGAGCCGTCTGTGTTATTGCAACTTGCATTATAGTGACAGCCATGGATGTGGCTGGTACACTCGTCCACATCTAAAAAGTTTGAAAATCAATCAATTTTTTTTAGCAAACTTGACTGTGATAGATATTAGTCGTAATTTGTTTTCGTCTTCAGATAAATCACTCTCAGCGCAAATGGCTAGACATTTTAGTCTTCTCGGATGAGGAAGAAAAAACCGTCCGCCCCTTCTACTGCATCGTTAAATAATTCATACTCTTATTGCAGAGATTAGGGAACATAGCTGCTAGTGTTGTGGTATGGCCCTAATTCTTAAAATGAGGGTATCTGCAAAAATTTGTCGAGTTTACGCCCCAACTTTCCAAGTGTACTATTGTTTACAGTTTGAACTACCTGGCTAGCATTCCTAATAAACCCGATTTGCGATTGTATACGTGAAGTATACCCTTATAGCGGTACGCCCCTTAAGTATCCAGTCAGTTGGAGTTAAGAGATCGACGGAGATAGATCAGAGTTTCTTTTTACCCAAGATTCTTCCGGTTAGGTAACGTTGCAGTTTCTCTAAGCACGTAAAGACAGGATCAGAGGTAAGTCTCAGCTTATTGTATTTAGTTTCCTTTCTCTTCGACTTCATTTGTTTTGTTATCAGTCTCATCCCATTTTTTGATCTTGTACATTACAATTTCCCTTTTTTAGTTTTCACCGCATGTGTACCATAGTCAGACGACAGCATTAAACGTTGTTGAATCAACTTGTGTTGTCGATTCCTACACTGTGATACTCCCCGAACTCCAGTGCATAACACCCCGTGTCCGCTGCATTGGGTACGCGACAGCCTGAACTCTTAAAATGGGGGTATTCGCAAAAGTTCCCTTTAAAAATTGTAAACTGTTCAATGCAGTCTGGCCAAAGTGCCAAACAAGGCTTTGTAAAGCGCCATAAGCCATTGGATATGATGCTATGAAAATATTTCATTATTATTAATATGTCTCTATGAATATCTATGAATCTCACCTGTGCAATTCCGACCGTTCCCCTGAAAACCTTCTGTACAGCTACACGTAAATGATCCCTCGGTATTATTACAAACAGCTTTGGCATGACAGTCATGAGAGTTGTCAATACACTCGTTTCTATCTAAACAAAGAAAACAATGAGGACTGATATGAGCTTATCCGCAAGCTGGATGAAGAACCTTCAGAACATTAAAAAAGAATATTAGTGAGACCTCTTTCACAGTTTTCTCCCGTGTAATTATCTGGACACAGACAAATGTATCTCTTGTCGGTATATCCATTGAGACAGGTGGAATCATGGAGGCAGGGATTACTGGTGCACGAATTCTGATGGAATAGGAACACGCCTGTTAGTAATTATAATTGACCAAAAACATTCAAGCTGATTTCAGACGATTGTATTGTAATGTAAAGTAAAATCCTACCTCAGAGGCCCAGAGAATAAAACCTTTTCGTATTTCTTTATCTTCACGATGTTGGGTGTGGTCGAAGCTACTCAGTTGGCAGAGCCTGAAGCCTGTCTCGTTTGGTGGGCCGATGTTCACAGACAAACAATTGCTCTCTATGAGGCACTCATATCTACAGTCATGAGTCATGAGCTCCTTTCCCATTGGCAAGTAAATTTCTTTAAATACATAACGTTGAGGAGCACGTTCTCCTTCTGATCTCTTAAACCTAAGACTTCGGCAGCCAAAATCTGGAGGCATTGGATTCATAAAGAAAAAATGTCATCAGAATTTCAGCTCGAGAAATACTTATACTCTGATCAGAAACGTGAATACTACTGCTAGAGCGATACATATCAGATATTACAGAATTTATTAGTGTACCTTAAAAACACTTTGGGTCAGCACAAAAAAAAAAAATTAAAAATAAAATAAAATAAACAACAATACTACTTTCAGTCAGTTAGTTAATGAAACACAAAAAAAACCTTTTAAAGTGACTTCATTGATAACAGAATAAATAACGGGAAAAAATTGTTGCTGTTAGATCTTCATGATAGCCTTTTACATTAAAAGGGCTTTTGGTATTAAGGTAGTTTGTAAAACATAGCTAAAAGATAAATCAATTAGGTTTCAAACTTATCGTTTCGCGTAAGATGTGATGCAACAGATCATTTTACCGCAAAATTGCTTTAAGAAGAAAATCTTTAGACTTAAATATGAATTTTCAGTTTCTTAAATAAGTAGAGAATAATACATGGGCGCGCGTAGATAAGGAATTTCTCTTCGAGTGTTTAACTCGATAGCTCACGAGTGAGATGTTGAGTTGAACACGAGAAGAAAAATTCCATATCTACAAGCAACCATGTATTATTTTGTTTATCATATAAACATAATAGCCCGAGAAGAAAAGCCGACTTCATTAATGAATGAAAATGAATGAATCGAAAATCCCCGAATAACAATCGTAGAGTGCGTTGGCGCTAATTGTTAAAATGGTAAAAATGCATTGAATCATTATTACAAAACAACAATGGTCTCAATTTTCAATTTACAAAATTCTCATTTAATGACTTTGTCCTAACCGACAGAAGACGTCTTTCGAGTGAACAGCCAAAATCGGCCGGTGGCAAATCTTTCAGTTGTCAATTTTCATTCTCAGCCGAGAGAAATGCTAACACCAAAGCCACTGAGTACGTAACTTTCGGTTTTTCTTTTAGTATGTTGGTTTCTTTCCCCTTCTAAGAAAATTTGAACCTCACAGTCTGCTATACGGATTTTCAGTGTTTTAGCAGCCATAATTGGAGAAAGCTCCGACAAACAACTTGTATTAAGAATCGTGAAGACTTTGCCGTTCATTCATCAACCTGATCGAGTGGCGGAAAAGGCAAGTGACGTGTCAGCGGCTAATTGGCTATATCAATACACGTGAAAAAATACGATATTTTTTCGTATTTTTTCACGTGTGTTGTTACGGCTTTTCTCAGAGCCAGAAATCCCTGTATAACACCCCAGTTTATGTGATAAAGTGTTTTTTTATTACGAGGTAATTTTCACACCACAACTATTTTTTCCATCGGTAGCCAATAACAGATTTTTTACTTGCCCTGCAATTTTAACAGCTTTAAACCTGTTTGAAAACTCTGGTTGTCTTATGTCGCCTTATACATAAAATATATGAAAATATATTCATCCTCTAAGTTATTTTTAGTTAAGGGAAGAAACCACCTGTTTTGGTGTTGATGAGCAAACAGATTACCTAATGTTTGTCTTTGTTAATGCTAATGAGCGACTAAAAACTCTCCCTCGTTGCAAATCGTTCTTCCTCTTAAATTTTGTTTACATACATCATCTTTTAGTCTCAGGACCTATTGTGCTGAAAAGCTGATATTTAACGGAACGAAATGCAGTTTGGGAAAGCGTGGTGATATGTAGGGCATGCCATCATGAAGGTTTTCTTAAGTTCGGGAACTCAGCCAGTGCGCTTCACGAGCTGGCAGCTGAAGAGCGAGCGCAATGCTCGACAAGTTTCAAGAGCTTACACAATTTTACAAAGAAATGACATTTGAGCCGTAACATTTTGGAAACTCAACATTTTCTTTTCTCTTCTCATTTTTCCTTTTATCTATTCAAATTACAATCTCTTAGGCGCCTTGGTATCTACGTAAACAACTAATTTGTAATTCTTTGGAAGAAAACCAGAATCGCCCCAAAATTTGGGTTGACCAATTCAGTTGACACAGCTCGATATTTTAGTCGATAAAGATAGAGCTTGTTAAGTAGGAATCTTCATTCTTAAAAACACAGCGGGAAAGACGGTTTCATGCGTATCGTTAACTGTTAAGCAACTCAAGCAGGGAACCTCTATCGTCAAGCTTACGTGTTCTTGACCATGTGTTAAATGCTGCTCTGGCTAAGAGCGGGGTTTAGGGCACATGCTTAAAAATAGTTTAGTTGTTCCCCAATTCTCTTTTTTTGCGTCGCCACAAGCCGAAATAAATTTTTGGCTAGACCGCCCGTGAGGACAGCGAAAGTGTAGATTTCACAGATTTTGTTCAGCGCCTATCGACTGCAATATTCTGGCTCGTGGAATTCTATTGTGCTACAAGTTACAAGGTGTATTCAGCTAGTTCACAGAAAAAATATAAAAACTTCACCTGAAATATTTTTCATATCAGTGTGATCATAGGAGACCCTTGTCTTCGACTTTAATTTGCATATAAAAAAGTGCAAAATGCAGGCGTTAATGGGTCTAAAAAATATACCAGTGCATCGTTTACATGTGTCCTAAACCCGTTTCATAGGCAAAAAGTAAAAGGAAACTTTTTCCGACGGGAAGTCGAGTGGACCGCTTTTAGCGAGAGCGGCACTTAAGTATTGTATTCAGTTTAGTAGTGTATTCAGTGCAGATTGCATAAATGACTGACAGCTGTTTAATGATGAACCAACCGTTTCACTGTCTTGTGTTTACTTGAAAGAACTTCAATATTTTCGTTAATTTTTTTTTTATCGTTTCAACTTAAAAATCGACCTCGATTTTTCATTCCTTAAAAACTTATTGGTCACAGAAATAACATCGACAATGTTCAAAACTAAAGTGGGTGCAAAGTGGAACAGCATTTAATTATAAATTGCGACAAGAGCTAATGCAAAATCCGACAGGTATTATAACGTGTGACGATTATTACACAGTGCAACATAAGACGTATGCACTTCATCCGTATCCAAAATAGTTCTTCTAAAAAAACAAAACTCTCTAAGCAACTTTGAACCTATAGGAAAACTAAGGCTAGTTTATTCTTTCTATGTAGCAGTTTTTTAAAATCTGTTTATGAAGATCTAGAAAATTGTTGGGTTTTTTTTTTAGCTAAAGCTCTAAACCACCTGTTATGGCAAACAACCAAAATACAGAGCCCTGAATAGAGTAAGTTTGTTCCTATTCTCTTGTAAAGTATAACCTTCAAGGCGAAAATTATCTTTTTTGAATTTCCTAATATGTCTTTTTAATGCAACTAAGCCAAAAGGGCGATTATTTGGCGTGTCTTTGTTGCTGTGACCTCTGATGTGCGTGGCTCCTACTTGCCTGGCAAAGCGCTTCAAAGCTGATATCAAATGAAAGTCAGGCTTGATGACAAAGAGGGAAGAAAAGGAAAATTTTACCTCGAAACGGTTGCGTGTACAAGTTTGTTTAACTAAAGACACACAGAGCTTATCAGGTATTTTTACGTAAATTAAAGTTCAACTTGGTTACTTTTACTGATACGTTAAGTTAGAAGTCAGTAAAAAAAAGATTTATTCCAAAAAAGATGCAGAAATTGCTTTTCACAAGTGTTACATGTCTACCTTATTTCGAAGCAATAATGAACTGGAATTCTAAACAAGAGACGGAAAAGCAAAAGAAAACACATAAATATCAAAGACTTACCCTCGTTTCCATCCGCAGGGAAGTGAAGCCATCCTCCCCACAGAACTGTTATGGAGAGGAAAGATAGAGATAGTTTGGAGGGAATCTTCATCCTTGAAGAAAATACTTGTACTTGTGTATCGTTTACAGTGAAGCAGGGAAACTCTACCGTCAAGCTTAAATGCTACTGGGCGAGACGAGCTTTGCGTCACAAAAACGTTTTTTATGTAAAATAGCTGGTGACTCATTGAATGTTTTCAATATTTTTTTGCATTCACGTGGATTGAGTAATACTTGTCCTGTATTTGCCGCGATAGGCTAAAACAGGCTATTTCAGTAGCAAATGGATGGAAAGCGTCACAATGTTATAGAGAAATTTATACTAGATTAATACAACTATGCTATTATATTCCGAAAAATTAAGTAAATTAATTATTGCAGTTATCTAGCATTGACCATTTCATCATCGAGATGTTAATTCTAAACAAATGAAGCCAACCATCCACAGCTGCTTAACTCTGAGCAAACAAATTATCAAATTAAGCCGACAAGAAAACGCGATAAATTTGCATAAACGAAGACTTCCTGAAAATAACAATTCACGCTTCGCGGATGGAAAATATTTGAAACAATTATATTAAAGATGATAAAACATGCATATGAGAAACTGAGATGATATTTCGGGAAATTGTACTAATATTCAGAATGTTCATGTGTTTTGTTGGAGATTATAATGTTGGATATTGTTAAGTCATGTGGGAAAAACTTCAGATCCGAATACGCGTGCGTATCTGGTGTCAAAGTAAATTGTAGAGATGTGTCATAAACACAGTGAACGGACAAGAGCATATCACAAATTTTTGCCTTCTTGTATACTAAAGAACTGAACCGAGAGACATGAGTGCCCGGTCGGGCGACCCGCAATATTTTTTCAGTCTGATTTCACAGTAACTTTTTGTTCGCACATACCAGTGCTTTTGGGTCGAGATTGGATCCCGTAACTCTAGAGAGCTCAGCCGATCGATCGGACTTCAACCTCCGTGATGAGATCGCACCAAGTGATACCGATCCAAGATATTTTGTTTATTTTCCTCAGATGAATAATTAATTATTAGATGAACCTTAAACTTATTATCAACAGGTTTAAGTAACCGCATAGACACCTACCGACTGCAAGCGTCAATGTAATTCTCTACATTGATGAGAGAAATATAGCACCTCTGTAGAATGCATGCTACAAATTTTTTTCGGGGCCAGAGCTCCTCATGTTGGCCAGGAGCGCATTAGTTGGAGCGTTCAACTGCCCTGTATTATTGCCACGGCGTTTTTTACAGACAAGTCTATTTTTAGTTTAAATTTACTCGACTCTCCACGAGATTAAGATTAATCGATCTCCAATCAAGATTAGAGCTTAGTTAATTTCTAACTTTACCCTTTAATACAACGAAAGAAAAATGGCAGAGAGATGCAAGAATTTTTGCAATAGTTCGAGTGCAGATTCGTGTGAAGATTTCGAAAGCACTTCGGGAAGCAGCAGTTCCGAGGACAGTGCTGACGATGATGAACCTGAAATGAACACGGCTTCGCGTCCGTCAAGTTTTAAGTTGATGATGTAAATTGGCCTCCGTAAACACTTCCTAAAGTTGACATTTCGAGCGTTGGCCCTAATTCTTTTTCATTTTGACAAAAGGCTAACGCTCGAAACGTCGGCTTAGAAACTCTTTACATTAGCAAATTTACGCTATCAACTCAGCTGATAAAACCGATCTTTTAATACCCCTACCGACAAGGCACTACAGCCTCTTTAGAAAAATACCCCCTTTATTCGTAAATGTAGGCTCATTTAGATAAATCCTTTGGCAATGTTGACATTTGTTCATCTGCCATTGCTGTTGAAAGCGTCTTACCAGAGCAATACCATCAAATGCATTAAAAAATGTTTTTGTTGACACAAGTTTATTACGAATATCGTTGCAAGGAGTAGCTACAATATATCAAAAAAAGCATTTATTTTATGTAACCTAAAAATTACTTGATTTGTGTTTGGGCAAGCAAAAAAAGAAAACGAAATTATCATTCAGTTAGTGAGTCTAATAGGGTACAATAGGTTTTGATTCTGGCAAAAGAAGTATCCATTGTTGTGCTATTTGTATCTTCAACTGCATCAATATTTCCACTTTCGACATCGTTCATGATCCTTTTTTCCTCGTGATCTTTCAACTTATCCTACTCAATCTCCCCGCTTTCCCTAAAACTTCCAAGTGTTTGCTTTCAGGAAAGTTGACACGAAGTTCTTTAGAGGCGGTTAAGACGTAATAATGGGTAAGAACATAGATACTCCTAAAAGCACCACTCTGGCACGCAGCAGTTCCATAATAATGCTTCCAACATCAGAGGGAGCTTGTCCTAAAGAGGGACATATTTTAGTAAGATTAGTATTAATAATGCTAAAACAACAGGGCGTGGCTTGACTTCTATTCTTCACCCCGACCTCGTGTGCGACGAGTCTACTCTTGCAAACAAAATCAACAAGGCATTCGTCAGCGTCATGGAAGATTACTCGCCCTTAACTGATTGTGTGCGCGTGGATATGGACGACGATCAGCCTATTTCAGTCAATGAACACTCTGTGGGGCCGGTCGATCTTCCGAACTGGGTAGTAAGGGAACACGCAGGTATTCTGGCAGCACCAATTGCAAAAAATCTTAATACCTATTTCCTCGAGTGCAAAGTTCCCCGGGTTTGGAAGATTGCCGACGTTCCACCTCTCCCCAAAGCACCTACTGTCAACGACATCAATAAAGACCTAAGACCCATTTCACTGACATCCACTTTGTCTAAGGTTGCGAAGGGCTTTGTTATCTATTAGGAATTGATATCAGTACTGTTGTAGACTAATCATTCGCATGACCAATCAGAACGCCGATTTCGTTTCATCTTTCCTGCCCGAAGATCAAAGAATATAACGAGAACTGACCGAAGGTCACTTTCATAACACCCCCGGTTGTTGACGTTATGGTCGAGAAATTTTCTCATCGGTTTAAATGAAAATCAACTCTCCCAACCGTTACTGAGAAACCTTATTTGATACAGTAACGAGGACCTCTTATTTCATCCAAAAGTGCTTAGTAGTGGCAACCATCTTGAGATCTGGGGAAGAAGGAGTCGTTGGCGTTGCCCCTATGATTAATTTTCATGTGTCATTTCTTTTTAATTAGCTATTTTAGCTAACTTTCCCTCTCTTTCGCACAGGAAGAAGCTAAGGTAATTTTGTATAATGTTCCAATCTTTCAACGTCTTTAAGGGAAGAATACGCTGGAACGGACGCGCAATCAGCCGATACTCTGAAGAACTTTTTATTGATAGCTTGACACTAAATTTCTAGTAACACTTAAAATGCGGCAACAGCTTTAATTTACCACCTTAACTAACTGAAGTGTATTCACCTGTGGATCCAAGAGAGATCATCTTCCTGATTATTTACATTAGGCGGGGTAGAGGAGGGAGGGAGAAGAGGAGATTTTCCTCTTTTTTTTGAAGAGCCTCTTACACAGATTGAGCCATTTGAGGTCACGTGAAAAGATATTGCAAGCCGTCATCTCTCTCTCTCTCGCTTGGGTCCACTCCGGATATCACTTTGTTCGTGGAGTTTTTGCTTTTACGAGAGGTTTTCTATTTTTATGTATTCTCCTTTATGAATGGAATCAGTAACTTATATACACAAACCTTATTCCAGTTGTAAATACAAGAAATGAATGCAAATATTGTCAAACTTCTAATCAAAATGTTTTCAACTCTGTAACGCAAAAAATGAATTTTATATTTCAACAGCCTACCGCTGACTCCTTAGCTCTTTCTTCCATACGTCTGTTGACTAAGTAAGCCTTCGATATTTCTGATATAAGAAACAACAACAACAACAAAAAAAACAAGAAGGAAAAAATAAACTGGATCGAGCGAAAACAATAAAAAAAGAATGATTTAACAAATAAACGTCGTAACGTTGGTCAAAAGCTGTAAAAAGTAAATCTAATGCTTTTTTGTCAATGGCAGGAAGATCTTACCATATATGTTTTAACTATAACAATTAAATATATGTATAAGGCGAAACGTTTTAATTGACTTTTCGGTTCAATTATTCACCAAAAACTAAGTTCATGTTAAAGACAGTTGACCCTATTAAAAAAGAAACCTCTTTTCAGATGGTAAAGCCTATCTCCTTAGATAACTCATCTCATACCCATTGCTAAATATCTTAGTTGTACAATGGCTCTAGCACTACGAGATCGCCTCCAGAGTGGATCTACATTCAACGATAAGGTTAGTTGACACATAACATTCACGTAGTCGCTTTTAAGGATGTTTTATCAAATAATTTTTTGTTAAAAAAATGTACAGGGTTTACTACTTCACCCCGTCACCCACTCAATTTTGTAAAACAAAAAGTGCAAAATCTTACAGCGAGAAAGTAGGTGAACCACAGTTTACTGCAATTCACCGACTTTCATTGGATGAAATTCTATGAGGAATAAAACTGGTCTATTATTTCAGAATTGATCTTCAACCGAAATGTGTCAACAACTTTGTCGCAAATTTTAATGTAGAATAACATGAGTTGTTTCTTTTCCCTTAGGATTCTTAGTATAATCATTATGAATATTCAAGTACCATAACATTATCTAACTTGTTGTCATGTCTAATTTATGTTAAACTTTTAACTCCCATGAGTGACCAAGACAGAATTTCTCCTTACAGTATCATGCAGATAAGTGATGAGAAGAAAGAAAAATATTAACTGTGGGATTACTAATTGATCTGATACCAAATTCTCCAAGCTAACATAATGAGAATTATTTTGTAGACAGTTAGGAGAATTACTACTGAGATTTTGGGAGTTAAAGGGTTAAAATCACCTATGCACTGGATGGCATGTGGTTTGGTTGTTTCTTCTACAGTAATTTGATGGTCACCTGACCATGGCCAGCCTTGTTGTGACAACATTCATTCTGTCGATTGTTTCCAACATTGTAGGATCCGCCACCACCCCCACAGGTACTCAAAACAGAATATCCGCTGCCTCCCCCGGAGTATCCTCCTCCTCCCCCCCCTCCTCCGCCCCATCCCCCAGCTCCACCTCCCCCGCCAAACCCACCATAGATGTTGAAATACTCTGATCTCCCACCCACCCCTCCCTGCAGAAATCCCTTACCACCCTCCCCACCATGTCCCTCGGTCCCATTGAAATTCTTTCCACTTCTTCCACTGGAGTAAAACCCGCCACCGCCACCACCTGAAATATCATGGTATTAATTAAATTAGAAAACTTTTGATGGGGATATCGTGAGATTATGGCAGAATAAACATTTCGCACGAAATTTTTAAATTACTACCTAAGTGCTAAAATGCAAAAGATTATTAAAAAATTCTTTTACCTTGTCCGTTGCTCCCTCTTGACCATGGTCTGACTCCAGGATTCCCTGTCGTGCTTGTGCTGGCGTCACATTTTTTATATCTTGAAAATACATATTGTACCCCTCCTCCGCCTCCAGCTATTATTAAAGGTGTGTTGGCTCCTCTCACTACAAATGTACCTCCACCGCCGCCAGAAGAATCAGACTTCTTGTTTATTCCTCCTTCTTGACCTACAAGTACCTGGATGACTTCACCCTTGTTTAAGCGGAATGTTCCAATCATTCTTGCTCCTCTCCCGCGGTACCGAGGGCTGTACATCCCTTTATCGTACCCTCCAGCTGCCCCAATTGCTTCTATTCTGTAATCACCAGTGTACGGTACAGTCCACTGTTGAATACCGCTGGACAGAGCAACTTGTCCGTCATGATCCTGACCTGCGTAGTAACTTCCGAGCGATGTTGGACCATATCTTCCAGTGGCATTGAGATTTGAGAACCCGGCTTTGAATACTGAGAGGAAAAATGTAAAATTGACATCCATTTTTTTAATTAAGTTGTAATTTCATCTCTATCTCGAATGTTTGTGTTCAGTCTGGCAGCTGGTTGTATGATCAGTTCAAACAGTTGAGAGAACAAACACGTAACATTAAGGGCGCTTTAGATCTCAAGTTTTCCTACCCTGATAAAGAAATTTGAAATTATTTTGATTATCTGGAGGAAACTATGGGATACGCGTTACTCATAACAGGAGGAGTCTTCTCCTGACGAATATAATTTCTGAGCACTGATCGTTAAGTAATTTTTTGAGTGAATTTCCTGTGTAGACATATCAGGCAATGAACCACTTCGAAATCGAAGCGAAATCTGTGGAAAACTTGTCTTATTTAGTTCCTGGTCATTGCCATGATAGAATCCTAAGCCCATTAAATGTAATCCGTACGACCTCGATTTCGTAGATTTCAGGTTGTGCCAATGTTCATTTTGTAAAGGGAAGGTGTGCTTACATAGCACTTATGATAAGTATTTTCCTATGTCACAATTTACATGGAATGAGAAAGTGCCCGTCTGAACTGCAATGATTGAATTAAGTATCCGTTTTAAACGCACATTTATCAGAGTTTATCTTCGGCGCTGTTTCAAGTGGATCACGCAAATCGCTATCTAAAAAAAAAAAAAAAAAAAAAAAAAAAAATCACAAAACATTTCTTATACTTACCGCAAGTGAATCTCGTTTTGCATTTGCATGTGTAAGACCCGTCTGTGTTATTGCAACTTGCATTATAGTGACAGCCATGGGTTTGGCTGGTACACTCGTCCACATCTAAAAAGTTTGAAAGTAAACCAGAAAAGGGCAGTAACACCAAATAAAGAGAAATCCTAGAAACAAGTTGCGATTAAAAACTATCGTAGACTATTTAAGAAATTTTCAGGCTCGGACGCAATTCAATCCCACTGCCTCTAGTTACTGGTTGGTCAATGGTAACAGCTGAAATACGAGGTACAATGCACAAAAACAGGAAATTTTTAAGTCAACAAGAACCGGTGAACGAAGATCCATCAATGTTTTTGGCAAAATCGACCGTCATGCATATCAGCAATCAACTGTTTTGGTCTTCAGATAAATCACTCTCAGCGAGAATGAAAAGAGACCAAGAGGGGTGTCATTGGACCGTCTTCTCCCTACGTTTGAGGAACAGTGATCGATTATAGTTAAAAACTTTCCCCATTTAATATGTTCAATACTTGGAATTCATTCAAAGTTGGCTGATAACAACTGAAAATGGTTAGATCATTTAGTAGAGCGCCTTACTGCTGTGTGGGAGGTCGAGAGTTCACGCCCCGAACCGGACCAACACTCATGATCACAGTCTTAAAATTACTGAGGAGAATGTGCTATTTTTACTCTGACATCTACAAATGATTTGACATTTTAGTTTTCTCGGATGAGGACAAAAAAACCGTAGGCCCCCTACTCCTTCATCTCTTCTGTACTGGCTGATGGGGGACGTTGAATAATTTATACACTTATCGCAGAGAGTAGGGAACACAGCTCTCAGTGTTGTGGTTTTGCCTTAGTTCTTAAAATGGGGCCATCTACAAAAATTTCCTTAAAAAATTCTAAACTTCTCAATGCAGTCTGGCCAAAGTCCCAAACAAACCTTTGTAAAGCGCCATAAGCCATTGGATATGATGCTATGAAAATATTTCATTATTATCAATATGTCTCTATGAATATCTATGAATCTCACCTGTGCAATTCCGACCGTTCCCCTGATAACCTTCTGTACAGCTACACGTAAATGATCCCTCGGTATTATTACAAACAGCTTTGGCATGACAGTCATGAGAGTTGTCAATACACTCGTTTCTATCTAAACAAAGAAAACAATGAGGACTGACATGAAGTTATCCGCAAGCTGGATGAAGAACCTTCAGAACTTTAAAAAAGAATATTAGTGAGACCTTTTTCACAGTTTTCTCCCGTGTAATTATCTGGACACAGGCAAATGTATCTCTTGTCGGTATATCCATTGAGACAGGTGGAATCATGGAGACAGGGAGTACTGGTGCACGAATTCTGATAGGATAGGAAACGCCTGTTAGCAGTTATACTTGACCAAAAACATCCAAGCTGATTTCAGAGGATTGTATTGTAATGTAAAGTAAAATCCTACCTCAGAGGCCCAGAGAATAAAACCTTTTCGTATTTCTTTATCTTCACGATGTTGGGTGTGGTCAAAAGTACTCAGTTGGCAGAGCCTGAAGCCTGTCTTGTTTGGCGGGCCAATATTCACAGACAGACAGTTGCTTTCCATGAGGCACTCATATCTACAGTCATGAGTCATGAGCTCCTCCCCCATTGGCAAGTAAATTTCTTTAAATACATAACGTTGAGGAGCACGTTCTCCTTCTGATCTCTTAAACCGAAGACTTCGGCAGCCAAAATCTGGAGGCATTGGATTCATAAGGAAAAATATAATCAGAATTTCAGCTCGAGAATAGTTACACTCTAATTAGAAACGTGAATACCACTGCTAGGGAGATACATATCAGATATTACAGAATTTATTATTGCACCTTAAAAACACTTTGGGTGAGCACAAAAAAAAGATAAATAAAAAATAAAAATAAAATGAAAAAAAAAAAAAAGGAAATCAACAACGCTACTATTTTCAGTCCGTTAGTTAACGAAACACACACACACACAAAAACGCTTTAAAGTGACTCCACTGATAACAGAATAAATAACGGGCAAAAATATCTTGCCGTTAGATCTTCATGGTAGCCTTTTGCATTAAAAAGGTTTTTGGTATTAAGGTAGTTCGTAAAAGATAGCTAAAAAATAAATCAATAAGGTTTCAAACTTATCGCTCCGCGTAATATCTGATGCAAGAGATCATTTTACCGTAAAATTGCTTTAAAAGGAAAATTTTCAGGTTTTAATATGAATCTTCAGTTTCTTAAAAATAAAGTGTTTTTTATTACGAGGTAGTTTTCACACTTAAACTGTGTGTTCCATCGGTAGACAATATCAGACTTTTTACTCGCAATCTTAACAGCTTTAAACTTATTTGAAAACTCTGGTTGGCTTATGTCGCCTTATACATAAAATATATAAAAATATTTTCAGCCTGAATTATAAAACTCTGTGTTATTTTAGTTAAGGGAAGAAACCACCTGTTTTGGTGTTGTTGAGCAAGCAGAATATCTGATGTTTGTCTTTGCTAATGCTAATGCCTAGCTGCTACTTAAATGGGCGACTAAAAACTCTTCCCTCTTCCTCGTTGCAAATCGTTGTTCCTCTTAGTCTCAAGACCTATCGTGCAGAAAAACTGATATTTAAAGGAACGAAATGCAGTTTGGGAAAGCATCATGATATGTAGAGCATGCCATCATGAAGGTTTTCTTAAGTACGGGGACGCAGCAAGTGCGCTTCGCACGCTGCAGCTGAAGGGCGACTAACAATAAAATCTATGTGCTACGCGTGAAACAAAAACTGATTAAAAAATAATTTCTGCCTTCCCGTCGATTTTTAGCCGAAAGTTTACTAACGAAAATGTTGGTTCATTTTTTTTACCGGAAAATAACATAGATTGGCAAGTTTTTCTTGTCATTTCAACTAAAAAATCGACCACAATTTGCCATTACTTAAAAACTTATTGATCATAGAAATAAAGTCGACAATGTTTATTGACAAAGAGGGGTAAAAGAAAAATTTTACACTGAAAACGGTGAAGTGTACAAGTTTGTTTGGCAAAAGACACATGGAGTTTATCAGGTATTTTAACGTAAATTAAAGTTCAACTTGGTACTTTTTACTGATATAATTAATTAGAAGTCGATGAACCAAATAACTTTGAAAAAGATGCAGAAATTTGCTTTTCACAAGTCTTACATTTCTAGCTATTTCGAAGAAATAACGGACTGGAATTCTAAACAAAAGACGGATGAGCACAGGAAAACAGTTAAATATCAAAGACTTACCACCGTTTCCATCCGCAGGGCAGTGAAGCCATCCTCCCCACAGAACTGCTATGGAAAGCAAAGATAGAGATAGTTTAGAGGGAATCTTCATCCTTGAAAAGAATGCTTGTACATGTTTAGCGTTTACAGTGAAGCAGGACACTTTACCATCAAGCTTAAATGCTATTCGAAGTTGGCGAAGTTGCGTCATTGTTTAAAAATTGTCCAATCTCGTAGCAATCGTCTCGTTTCTCAAGTTACTTTAAAAGCCTTTTAATATATTCCTTCTATTTCTTCTTTGACAGGAATATAAAAATAGATTTAGAAGGTCAGTTTTCTTATCATTTTCAACCATTCATAGATTTACAAGATAATAAGATCTCTTCAAAATGTAAATTGGCCTCCGTAAATAGTTCCTAAAGTTGACGTTTCGAGCGTTGGCCCTAATTCTTCTTCCTTCTGACGAAGTGCTAACGCTCGAGACGTCGGCTTAGAAACTCTTCACAATAGCAAATTTACACTATCAACTCAGCTGATAAAACCGATCTTTTAATACCCCTACCGACGAAGCACCACAGCCTCTTTAAAAAAATACCCCGTTTATTTGTAAATGTAGGCTCAATGAGTCAAATCATTATGCAACGTTGACATTCGTTCATCTGTCATTGCTGAATAAAAGTGTCTTACCAGAGCAATCCAATCCAGTGCATTAAAATATTGTTGACGACACAAGTTTATTACGAATTTCGTCCTGAGGAGTGGGTAAAATGAAAAATACATCTATTTTTGTAACCTAAAAATGACTTGATTTGTGTTTGGGCAAGCAAAAAAAGAAACTAAATTCTCCTTCTGTTAGTGACTTTACGAGGGTTCAAAAATATATCTTTGAGATATTCATTATGTAGAAAAAATGTGATCTTCCTGTCTGGCAGCTGGAGATCGTCAAACATGAGTACAGAAGGCTGTAGTGAAGATGACCTGCGCAAAGCCACCCTTAGAATCATCTAGAAGATTATTTAAAGCATCATTTGAATTGGAATATCAAGTTTTTGTTGTCTTCTCTAAAACCCTTTTAATATCGACTTTACTCTTTCTTTTTATTGCATCAATATTTATGCTTTCGACATCTTTCATAATCCTTTTTTTCTTCCTGATCTTTCAATTTATCCTTTCCCTCAATCTCCCCGCTTTCTATTGAATTTTCAGAATTTTTCCCTATAGCGTCCAAATGTTTGCCGCATGCATCGCAGCCTTAATGAAAATTTGCGCGCAGTCTACGCAACCTCACAACACGATGAAACGTAGTGTCCATGTCATCTCCTAGAACTTCCTGACAATCTCAGAAAGAAAAATGATAATAATGATAATAACCTCATAAAAAATAAGTAAAGACATAAAAATGGAAAAAAAAAATGTTGATGAAGCGATAAATTGATGAAATATAAAGACGATGATCTGGAATTTTTATTTCATGAAACTAACGCGTATCGAGAATTCTATAAACTAATTCTTCAGCTGATTTCGGAACTCTCATGTTAAATACGAATAACAAGCTTAACGAACGCTAAACACTTTACATCCTAAGATCAGAATGAATAATCTCCATACTTTCCCTTTATATTTCCACTGCTGCTGATAAGGAGACTGTTTAACAAACAAAGCTTCCTGGCTTGGTGATCATTTCCTTTATTCTCATGATCTTAGTGAAGAATTCCATTTTATTATTGCAAGGAGAAATTAGATTCTGGTCACTCTTGGAGGTTAAAGGATTAAGGAGAGTCTATGAATTTTGGCTGAGGAAGTTTTCAAGTCTCGTACCCAGACCTTCAATGGCCAATCGGTTTTAACCGTCAGTTATATGGTAGGATCTGGGTAAGAGATTAGGGGTTCCCAAACACGGTTTTCTTTTGTTACACTAGAGCTTAAATAAGCTAAGAACCATTTCAACATATATGAATCTTTGATATTTCCATTTGAGTAGTAACTTGCCCTCTGTTTTTGGAAGAATTTAAGATAAGACATGAAGTTGAAGGAAGAGGTGGGCTGAGAGCCGCGCCACCGGATCCTCCTCCTGAACGCGGTGGTATTTTGAAGCCCGTCGGGTTACGTGATGCAGCACTGAGACAAAAAAGGGAGAAGTGTTCCCTGACGGTTTTAATGGGGTAACTATTGGCTGTAAAACGGCCAAAAATTTAGCCGTAAGCTGCAAAAGAAAAGTTAAACGTGAGGAAAATTTGAGGTAAACACAATGAATATATTTCACCGATAGCCGTAAATTGGAAAATATTTAGTCGTGAGCGGTAAAAGCCATCACCCCATTAAAGACCGTCTTCTGTCAACAACATGACACACTCTCCGCTTTTAATCTTAGAGAGTTCAACCGTTTAACTGCCGGATCAAATTTGTAATTCTCTTTACTGTCAACCATACAATTCTTATAATGTTAGTTCAGAGAATTTATTATTGGATGAACTTATTATCCCAAAATTGATATTTTTCTTTATTCTCATCACTTATCTGGTTGATATTGCATTGATATTGTAAGGAGAAATTCTGTCTTGGTCACTGATGGGAGTTAAAGGGTTAAAGGGCTTTTCGCAAGAGCGTGTAAAACCAAAACCAAAGTAAACACAACAACCAGTTGGTAAAATACACCTTTAAACCCCAACATCAAAATGTATATTCTCCATATCGTTCTTTGTACATAACCTGTGGTATGAATAAGGAGAATTTGTTGCAAATCACGAGCTTTACTAGTCTGTGATCGTTTCTTTGATTCTCATGACATTTGTGCTTCATTCAACAGTGATACTGTTTGGAGAAATTGGATGTTAATCACTCTCAGAGATTTGAGGCTGATCTCATTGCTAAGTACGAAATTTATACATATATACATTTTTATATATACAATTTTATTTCACAGGTAAATGTAAATCAAAAGCTCAGAGTGAGTTTAAAATAATTGTTTTAATTGAGTCAGTTTTGACCCTTTGAATGACCTGTTTGGGATTTTGTTTTCGGTATTATAGTTTAAATCTCAGGTTTTCTTTTATATGATCAGTTGTCAGACTGGGATATCGTTCTTATCAATAAATATAATATAACAGAATGTCTAGCTAGTATGCTACGCGAATTCGTTGAATATCGTGAGGCAAGTATGCAAATGTATCTTGCGTAAAAGTAAACAACTGAAACTCTTTAAATAAGCAAGTTTTGCTTAACGTCTGGAATCCGGGAATTTCTCGCTGTAAACATCTGCCGAAAGAAAACCTGGTCGAAGGCACTTCCGAAAAAACTTGTTCTAATGGTTAGACAGAGTGGTACAATTTTAGTTGAAACTCAAAATATTTTTCGTGAAAGCCATAATCGTTGCGGCGGATGACGTAGTACCCAGTTCGGGAACAATTAGATGAAATGGCACAAGTATCTCACAATGGATCGAAAACCGAAAAAATGGCAATCGGCGATAAGTTAGTTGAAACAAAAGATGTTTTAGTAGTGGCATACCACACCTAGAGACAAGGGGGAGAGGAAGTCGTTGACGTTGCCCCTATGATGAATTTTCATCTGTCATTTCTTTTTAATCAGCTATTTTAGCTAAATTTCCCTCTCTTTCTCACAGGACGAAGCTAGGGTAACTTTGTACAGTGTTCCAATCTTTCATTGTCTTTAAAGGAATGAATATGTTGGAACGGACACGCAATTAAACAATATATTGGAGAACTTTTTTTATTGATAGCTTGACACTAAATTTCTAGAACCACTTAAAATGCAGCAACAGCTTTAATTTACCACCTAAACTAACTGAAGTGTATTCACCTTAAAGGCTTTTAAAACAATCAAAGTGTAATATTTCCACTAATATAATGTGAATTACGTCATACATGCATTATGTGGATCCAAGAGCGATCATCTTCCCGGGTATTTGCACTAGGCGGGGTAGAGAAGGGGGGAGAAGGGAGGGGAGAAGGGAGGGGAGGAACGAAGTTTTTCCTCTTTTTATAAGAAGAGCCTCTTACACAGATTGAGCTATTTGAGGTCACGTGAAAAGGTATTGCAAGCCCTCCTCTCTCTCTCGTATGGGTCCAGGCCGGATATCACTTTGTTCGCGGAGTTTTTGCTTTTACGAGAGGTTTTCTATTCCTATGTAATCTCCTTTATAAGAACAAAGCTCGACTGAAGCTGGATCGAGATAATCGCACTTGAATGGAATCAGTAACTTATATACACAAACCTTATTTGAGTTGCAAATACAAGAAATTAATGTAAATATTGTCAAACTTCTAATCAAAATGTTTTCAACTCTCTAACTCAAAAAATGAATCTTCCATTTCAATGGCCTACCGCTGACTCCTTAGCTCTATCTTCCATGTGTCTGTTGACTGTGTAAACCTTCGGTATTTCTGATATAAGAAACAAGAACAAAAACAAGAACAAAAACAAGAAGGAAACAACAAACTGGATCGAACGAAAACAATAATAATAATAAAAAAAAATGATTTAACAAATAAATGTCGTAACGATGGTCAAAAGCTGTGAAAAGTCAATCTAATGCTTTCCTGGTCAATGGCAGGAAGATCTTACCATTTAGGTTCTAACTATAACAATTAAATATATGTATAGGGCGACACGTGATTTTAATTGACTTTTCTGTTCAATTATTCATCGAAATCTAAGGTTAAATACAGTTAACTTAATAAAAAGAGACCTCTTTTCAGATGGTAAAGCCTATCTCCTTAAATAACATTCTTTTCATATCCATTGTTAAAATTCATATACATTTTAAAATGCTGAGCCGCACCTCTAGGAGCTTTTAAAATCCGAATTCTGATGGTAAATAATCAAACGGAATACATGATTGAATGGCATTCCGATGAATACATGGTATTTTACAATGGATCAAGAACTACGAGATTGGCTCCTGAGTGGATCTACATTCGGCGATAAGGTTTGTTGACACATAACATTCACGTAATCGCTTTTAAGGATGTCTTATTAAATATTTTTTTTAACGTACAGGGTTTACTAAAACACCCCGTCACCCACTCAATTTTGTCAAAAAAAAAAAGTGCAAAATCTTACAGCAATAAAGCCGGTAAAATGCAGTCTGCTACAATTCCCCAATTCACCGACTCAACGCTTTGCCTTCACAGACAAAAGAAAAAAAATGCAATGTTGTGCTGTGGACGAGTAGGTGAAATGCTATGAGGAATAAATCTGGTCTACTATTCCAGAATTGATCTTCATCCGTAATGTGTCAACAACTTTGTTGCTAATTGTAATGTAGAATAACATGAGCTGTTTTTCCCCTCAAGATTCTTAGTCTAATCATTATGAATATTCAAGCTCCATAACATTATCTAACTTGTTGTCATATCTAATCTCTATTACCCTTTAACTCCCATGAGTGACCAAGACAGAATTTCTCCTTACTATATCCATACAATATCATGCAAAAAAGTGACGAGAATAAAGACAAATATAAATTGTGGGATTACTAATTGATCTGATACCAAATTCTCTAAGCTAACATAATGAGAATCATTTGGCAGACAGTAATGAGAATAACTAATGAGATCTTGAGATTTAAAGGATTAAAATCACCTATGCATTGGATGGCAAGCGGTTCGGTTGTTTTTTCTACAGTAGTGTGATGGTCACCTGACCATGGCCAGCCTTGTTGTAACAACATTCATTCTGCTGATTGTTTCCAACATTGTAGGATCCACCACCACCCCCACAGGTATCTACAGATCTTTTCCCACTGCCTCCCCCAGAGTATCCTCCTCCTCCTCCTCCTCCTCCTCCTCCTCCTCTCCACCATCCCCAAGCTCCACCTCCTCCACCAAACCCACCACAGACGTCGGAATACTCTGATCTCCCACCCACCCCTCCCTGCAGAAATCCCTTACCACCCTCGCCACCACGTCCCTTGGTCCCATTGAAATTGATTCCACTTCTTCCACTGGAGTAAAACCCGCCACCACCACCACCTGAAATATCATGATATTAATTAATTAGAAAACTTTTAATGGGGATATCGTGAGATTATGGCAGAACAAACATTTCGTACGAAATTTTTAAACTACTACCAAAATGCTGAAATGCTAAAGATTATTGAAAAATATTCTTACCTGAGTATCCAGAATCAGCAGTCTGTGCACCATGTCCATTGCTCCCCCCTGCCCATGATCTGTACCCAGGATTCCCTGTCGTGTTTGAGCTGGCGTCACATTCTGTATGTCTTGAATATACATATTCTACCCCTCCTCCGCCTCCAGCTATTATCAAAGGTGTGTTGGCTCCTCTCACTACAAATGTACCTCCACCACCTCCAGAAGAATACCACTGCTTGTTTATTCCTCCTTCTTGACCAACAAGTACCAGGATGACTTCACTCTTGTTTAAGCGGAATGTTCCAATCATTCTTGCTCCTCTCCCGCGGTACTGAGAGCTGTTAATCCGTAGATCGTACCCTCCAGCTGCCCCTATTGCTTCTATTCTGTAATCACCAGTGTACGGTACAGTCCACTGTTGAATACCGCTGGACAGAGCAACTTGTCCGTCATGATCCTGACCTGCGTAGTAACTTCCGAGCGATGTTGGACCATATCTTCCAGTGGCATTGAGATTTGAGAACACGGCTTTGAATGCTGAGAGGAAAATGTAAAATTGACATCCATTTTTTTATTAAGTTGTAATTTCATCTTTATCACGAATGTTTATGTTTAGTCTGGCAGCTGGTCGTCTGATCAGTTTAAACAGCTGAGAGAACAAATACATAACATTAAGCTCGTTAAGGGCAGTTCAGATCTTAAGTTTTCCTACTCTGAGAAATTTGAAATTATTTTGACTGTTTGGAAAATTTAGGGTACGGGTTACTTATCACAGGAGGAGTATTCCCCTTTAAGGGGTTTTCGGGCGGATTCCTGTATAAACATATCAAGAAATGAACCACTTCAGCGAAATCTATGGAAAACTTGTCTTATTTAGTTCCTGGTCATTGCCCTGATAGAATCCTAAGCCCATTAAATGTAATTCGTACGACCTCGATTTCGTAGATTTCAGGTTGTTTCAGTGTTCATTTGGTAGAGGGAAGGTGTGCTTGCATAGGATTAGTATTTCCCGTTGTCACGATTTACATCGAATTATAAAGTATCTGTCTGAGCTGCGATGATTGATGTAAGTATTCGTTTTAAACGCACATTTTATCAGAGTTTATGTCCGGCGCCGTTTCAAGTGGATCACGCAAATTGTTATCAGTTAAACTTCTGAAAAAAACTATTAAAAAAAAATCAAACAACATTTCTTATACTTACTGCAATTGAATCCCGTTTTGCATTTGCATGTGTAAGAGCCGTCTGTGTTATTGCAACTTGCATTATAGTGACAGCCATGGATGTGGCTGGTACACTCGTCCACATCTAAAAAGTTTGAAAATCCATCAATTTTTTTTAGATTGACTGTGATAGTTATTAGTCGTAATTTGTTTTCTTCTTCAGATAAATCACTCTTAGCGCAAATGGCTAGACATTTTAGTCTTCTCGGATGAGGAAGAAAAAACCGTCCGCCCCTTCTACTGCATCGTTAAATAATTCATACACTTATTGCAGAGATTAGGGAACATAGCTGCTAGTGTTGTGGTATGGCCCTAATTCTTAAAATGAGGGTATCTGCAAAAATTTGTCGAGTTTACGCCCCAACTTTCCAAGTGTACTATTGTTTACAGTTTGAACTACCTGGCTAGCATTCCTGATAAACCCGATTTGCGATTGTATACTTGAAGTATATATACCCTTATAGCGGTACGCCCCTTAAGTATCCAGTCAGTTGGAGTTAAGAGATCGACGGAGATAGATCAGAGTTTCTTTTTACACAAGATTCTTCCAGTTACGTAACGTTGCATTTTCTCTAGGCCCGTAAAGACAAGATCAGGCGTAAGTTCAGCTTATTGTATTTAGTTTCCTTTCTCTTCGACTTCATTTGTTTTGTTATCAGTCTCATCCCATTTCTTGATCTTGTACATTACAATTTCCCTTTTTTAGTTTTCACCGCATGTGTACCATAGTCAGACGACAGCATTAAACGTTGTTGAATCAACTTGTGTTGTCGATTCCTACACTGTGATACTCCCCGAACTCCAGTGCACAACACCCCGTGTCCGCTGCATTGGGTACGCGACAGCCTTAATTCTTAAAATGGGGGTATTCGCAAAAGTTTCCTTCAAAAATTGTAAACTGTTCAATGCAGTCTGGCCAAAGTGCCAAACAAGGCTTTGTAAAGCGCCATAAGCCATTGGATATGATGCTATGAAAATATTTCATTATTATTAATATGTCTCTATGAATATCTATGAATCTCACCTGTGCAATTCCGACCGTTCCCCTGATAACCTTCTGTACAGCTACACGTAAATGATCCCTCGGTATTATTACAAACAGCTTTGGCATGACAGTCATGAGAGTTGTCAATACACTCGTTTCTATCTAAACAAAGAAAACAACGAGGACTGATATGAGCTTATCCGCAAGCTGGATGAAGAACCTTCAGAACATTGAAAAAGAATATTAGTGAGACCTTTTTCACAGTTTTCTCCCGTGTAACCATCTGGACACAGACAAATGTATCTCTTGTCGGTATATCCATTGAGACAGGTGGAATTATGGAGGCAAGGATTACTGGAGCATGGATTCTGATAGGATAGAAAAACGCCTGTTAGCATCTATATTTGACCAAAAACATTCAAGCTGATTTCAGAGGATTGTATTGTAATGTAAAGTAAAATCCTACCTCAGAGGCCCAGAGAATAAAACCTTTTTTTATTTCTTTATCTTCACGATGTTGGGCGTGGTCAAAATTACTCAGTTGGCAGAGCCTGAGGCCTGTCTTGTTTGGTGGGCCGATGTTCACAGACAAACAATTGCTCTCCATGAGGCACTCATATCTGCAGTCATGAGTCATGAGCTCCTCCCCCATTGGCAAGTAAATTTCTTTAAATACGTAACGTTGAGGAGCACGTTCTCCATCTGATCTCTTAAACCTAAGACTTCGGCAGCCAAAATCTGGAGGCATTGGATTCATAAGAAAAAATGTCATCAGAATTTCAGCTCGAGAAATACTTATACTCTGATCAGAAACGTGAATACTACTGTTAGAGCGATACATATCAGATATTACAGAATTTATTAGTGTACCTTAAAAACACTTTGGGTCAGCACAAAAAAAAAAAAAAGAAAATTAAAAAGAAAATAAAATAAACAACAATACTACTTTCAGTCCGTTAGTTAATGAAACACAAAAAAAACCTTTTAAAGTGACTTCCCTGATAACAGAATAAATAACGGGAAAAAAATTGTTGCTGTTAGATCTTCATGATAGCCTTTTACATTAAAAGGGCTTTTGGTACTAAGGTAGTTCGTAAAAGATAGCTAAAAGATAAATCAATTAGGTTTCAAACTTATCGTTTCGCGTAAGATGTAATGCAAGAGATCATTTACCATAAAATTGCTTTAAAAAGAAAATTTTCAGACTCCAATATGAATCTTCAGTTTCTTAAAAATAAAGTGTTTTTTATTACGAGGTAATTTTCACACTACAACTGTGTGTTCCATCGGTAGGCAATATCGGATTTTTTACTTGCCCTGCAATCTTAACAGGTTTAAACCTGTTTGAAAACTCTGGTCAGCTTATGTCACTTTATATATAAAATATATGAAAATTTGTTCAGCCTGAATTGTAAAACTCTATGTTATTTTAGCTAGAGGAAGAAACCACCTGTTTTGGTGTTAATGAGCAAATAGAATATCTGATGTTTGTCTTTGTTAATGCCTGGCTCCTACTGGTGTAGGGCATGCCATCATGAAGGTTTTCTTAAGTACGAGGACTCAGCCAGTGCGCTTCGCACGCTGCAGCTGAAGAGCGACTAGCAATGAAAGATATGTGCTACGCGTGAAACAAAAAACTGATTAGAAAATAATTTCTGCCTTCCCGTCGATTTTTAGCCGAAAGTTTACTGAGGAAAATTTTGGTTAATTTTTTTAACCGGAAAAAATATAGATTGGCAAGTTTTTCTCGTCATTTCAACTCAAAAGTCAACAACAATTTTAAAAACTTATTGATCATAGAAATAACGTCAACAATGTTTAACTTTATGCCAGCATAGGTGTCAAAGTGAGACAGCATTTAATTACGTAAAATAAGTAAATAAGTTGCGATAAAAGTTGTTATTACAAAGTACTACAGAACGCGAATACACTTCATCTGTATCCAAAATTGTATATCTTGAAAAGAAAAAAACTCTCTAAGAAATTTTGAACCTATAGGAAAACCATGGCTGGTTTATTCCTTTCTATGCATCAATTTTTAAAAAAAATCTGTTCATCAAGATCTAGAAAACTATGGGTTTTTTTAGTTAAAGCTCTAAAACACCTGTGATGGCGTTGTTGAACAAAAAACCAATATACATAGCCCTGAAGAGAGTAAGTTTGTCTTTATTCTCTTGTAAGGTATACCCTCCAAGGCAGAAATTAAATTCTTTGAATTTCCTAACTGATGTCCTTGAAAAAAGGGAGATTACTCGGCACGTCTTTGTTACTGTGATCTCTGATGCACGTGGCTCCTACTTGGGTGGGTGACTAAAACTTTCCCTTCTTTGTGAATCTTTCTTCCTCTACAAATTTAGTCTAAAATTTACGGCCGAAATTTGTTTTTTCATTTCCTTAACCGAAAAATAACACAGATTGGACAAGTTTTCCTTGCCATTTCAACTTCAAAAAATGCCACAATTTTCCATTCCTTAAAAAACTTATTGATCATAAAAATAACGGCGACAATGTTTAACCTTATGTCAGCTTAGGTGCCAAAGTTAATGCAAATCCGACAGGTATTACAAAGTGTGACGATTATTACAAAGTACTACAGAACACGTATGCACTTCATCTGTCTCCAAAATAGTATTTCTTGAAAAACACAACTCTCTAGGCAATTTTGAACATATAGGAAAACCAAGGCTGGTTCATTCCTTTCTATCAGTTAAAGCTCTAAACCATTTGTTATGGCGTTGTTGAACAAAAGTAACCAAAATAAAGAGCCTTGAATAGAATAAGTTTGTTCCTATTCTCTTGCCAGGTGTAACCTTCAAGGCAGAAATTAAATTTTTTGAATTTCCCAATGGGCGACTAAAACCTCCCCTTCGTTGCAAAGACTTCTTCGTCTCAAATTTCGTTTACATGCATTATCTTTTGTTCTCAAGAACATATAGTGCTGCAAGAGTGATATTCAGCAGACCGAGATGTTCATAGGGTAATCAAGCTAAAAGGGCAATTATCTAGTGTGTATTACTACTGCGATCACTGACGCACGTCGCTCCCGCTTGGATCGGCGATGAAAACCTTACCGGAAGGTTTTCGTCTTCCCGGAAGATTTTCGTAAAGTGTTAGACACTTCATTTCCTCTCGAAATTGGTTTCATGTCTGGTCTCAAGAATGTCCGTGTTGAAAAGTTGATATTCAACGGACCGAGATATTCTTGCACTTTGAGAAAGTTTTAGTTCAAGATGAAGCCACTTTTGGCAAGTAATTAATTTATACTTTTCATGAAACTTTTGTCAATTGTCAAAAACTCCAAATTTTTAAAATTTTCTGACAAATCTTCATGTCAATTTATTTTAAAAGAAAAGTAATATTTTCCAAACCATTTCTAGAAATCTTTTATCAAAAACTATGAAATCAAGTGTTAAAAATCCATATCGCCGCGCGATAAATTAATGTTGCTTCGCCTGTAAATCGACGGGAAAGCAGGAAGTATTTTCTATTCCGTTTTTTCTTTCACGCGTAGCACATAGATTTAATTGTTAGTGGCTCTTTAAACTGTGGCGTAACTTCCTTTTTATCTACTTCTCCAAGATGTGTAATCGAGCGATAAGGTAGAAAAAGGGTTTAAAAACTCTCAAACTTTCATCCTCTGTATCAACTTAGTCTAACATAGTCGTGAAAGCCAACGAATTGACGGATGTGTGATCATGAAGGTTTTCTTGAATACAAAGCCAATTGAAAAGCATACTAAAAAGAATAACACTGGACCATAATTTTAGGAACTTTCTCTCGCTTAAGTAATAATTCCTGTTAGGGGCATCCGATATCGCTCCAAAATTTGCGTTAGCCAATACTTGATGCTGCTTCAATTTTTCCGTCTATTAGAAATTTTTTGCTGCTAAACCTACAGAGAGTATATATTATAGCTTTCTGAAGCTGGCAAAGCGCTTCAAAGCTGATATAAAATGAAAGTCAGTGTTAATGACAAAGATGGATAAAAAAACTTTACCCCGAAAACGGTGACGTGTACAAGTTTGTTTCGCGAAAGACACATAGAGCTTATCAGGTATTTTAACGTAAATTATAAGTTCAACTTGGTACTTTCTACTGATATAATTAGTTAGAAGTCAATGAAACAAATAACTTTGAAAAAGATGCAGAAATATGCTTTTCACAAGTATTACATTTCTAGCTTTTTTCGAAGTAATAACGGACTGGAATTCTAAACATAAGAGGGATGAGCTAAGGAAAACAGTTAAATATCAAAGACTTACCTTTGTTTCCATCCGCAGGGCAGTCAAGCCATCCTCCCCACAGAACTGTTATGGACAGTAAAGATAGAGATAGTTTGGTGGGAATCTTCATCCTTGAAGAAAATGCTTGTACATGTGTATCGTTTACAGTGAAGCTGGACACTCTACCGTCAAGCTTAAATGCTACTCGAAGTTGGCAGGTTGCTTAATTGTTTAAAAATTGTCCAATTTCGTAGCGATTGTCTCGTTTCTCAAGTTAATTTAAAAGCCTTTTAATATATTCCTTCCATTTCTTCTATGACAGGAATATAAAAATAGATTTATAACTTCAGTTTTCTTGTCATTTTCAACCATTCATAACTTTACAAGATCATTAGGTGTAATGTAAAATGTAAATTAGCCTCCGTAAACAGTTCCTAAAGTTGACGTTTCGAGCGTTGGCTTTAATCCTTTTTCACTCTGACGAAGGGCTAACGCTCGAAACGTCGGCTTAGAAACTCTTTACAGTAGCAAATTTACTCTATCAACTCAACTGATAAAACCGATCTTTTAATATCCCCTACCGACGAAGCACCACAGCCTGTTTATTTGTAAATGTAGGCTCATTAAGTCAAATCCTTTTGCAACGTTGACATTCGTTCATCTTTCATTGCTGAATAAAAGCGTCTTATCAGAGCAATATAATCCAATGCAATAAAATGTTGTCGATGACACAAGTTTATCACGAATATCGTCCTGAGGAGTGGCTAAAATAAAAAATACATTTATTTTTGTAATCTAAAAATTACTTGAATTGTGTTTGGGCAAGCAAAAAAAGAAAACTAAATTCTCCTTCTGTTGGTGACTTTACGAGGGTACAAAAATACATCTTTGAGATATTCATTATGTGGCAAATTGTTTTCTTCCTGTCTGGCAGCTGGAGATCGTCAATTATGAAAACAGCAGGCTGCATTGAAGATGACCTGCGCAAAGCCACCCTTAGAATCATCTAGAAGATTATTCAAAGGATCATTTGATTTGAAATATCCTATTTTTGTCGTCTTCTCTGGAACCTCTTCGATTTCGATTTCACTCTTTGCTCCATTATTGTTAATAGGCACCAAAATTTTCGTCGATAGGTTTTTATTCTAACAAAAAAGTACCCGTTGTTGTGCTATTTGTTTTTTTTTAACTGCATCGATATTTATGCTTTGGACATCGTTCATAATCCTTTTTTCTTCCTGATCTTTCAATTTATCCTGTCCCTCAATCTCCCCGCTTTCTAATGAATTTTCAGAATTTTTCCTTAGAGCGTCCAAATGTTTGCAGCATGCATCGCAGCTTTAATGAAAATTTGCACGCAGGCTACGCAACCACGCTAAACGATGAAATGTAGTGTCCATGTCCATGTCATCTCCTAGAACTTCCTGACAACCTCAAAATGAAAAATGATAATAATGATAATAATCACATAAAAAATAAGTAAAGAGATAAAAACCGAAAGAAAATGTTGATGAAGCGATAAACT